TGGATACTTTCTCCTCTCTCACATATAAAGGAGTGAAGGGGATCATTCTAAGGAGCTAAGATTCTGAAAGGAGAATTAAGAACTATATACAATAAGCTATTATACAAGGCCAAATGTAGTTAAGTACTGGCCGAAAGGAGGGAGAAGTGACTTTAAGAGTGTGAGGAGGGACCAAAAATTGTCTTAGAGATGGCCTTGGAGATAAGCCTTAAAAGGAGGCTTAGACTTTATGAGGAGGAGATTGGAAGAAAGGGTAAGAGAAAGAGGAATTTTGAGGGACTACAGTGTAAGGAATGACAGAACCAAAGGGCACCTACACATCAAGAGGAGGACCACGGCATGTTCAGTTGATCCCTTATGGCTAAAGCTGAGAAGAGGAACAATGGGATTGATGTCTAGATTGGAAGCTATTTAGGATACAGCTTTAATGCCTTGCCAAGGAATCTAGAATCAGAGGTCGTTGAGTGATTTGAAAAATGATTTTGGCTGCATTATTTAGGCTGGATTGGAGAACCTGGAGGCTCAGGCATCAGTTCTTTCTGTGGTCCAAAGGAAGGTGATGAGCACTGAAGTTGGTGGCTGTGGAAATGAAAGATGGTTATAAAGAACAATGACAAATTGCACTGTTACTCATTCTACCAGGATGTGGTGACTATAATCACAAACATGAAAACTTGTTTAGTCACTTTTTTTTTTAAGCTGCCCTCACTTAGACTCTGCAGAAGTAGTGAAATAATACAATTGAACCCTTCAGTTCCCTTAATATAAATCTCTTGCTTGCTTGCTTGCTTGATTTCTTTCTGTCTTTTTATTTATTTATTTATTTGTTTATTTATTTATGTATTTTGTGAGACAGAGCGTTGCTCTGTCACCCAGGCAGGAGTGCAGTGGCACGGTCTCAGCTCACTGCAACCTCTGCCTCCCGGGTTCAAGCGATTGTCTCCTGCCTCAGCCTCTTGAGTAGCTGGGATTACAGGTGCTCACCACCACGCCCAGCTAATTTTTGTGTTGTCCAGACTGGTCTTGAACTCCTGACCTTAGGTGATCCCCCTGCCTTGGCCTCCCAAAGTGTTGGGATTACAGGCATGAGGCACTGCCCCCAGCCAGTTCCCTTAATGTAAATTTCTAACCTGATTGAGTGAATTGTTTGTGGCCCTGAATTGATGAATGTGTTCTTCTGAGGCCTCTTCAAAAGGAGAAGTTTTGAAATAAATTTCAAAACTTAAAAGGACAAAATTGGATTGTGGAATTGGACTGTTTTCCTTATCTGAATTTTGGAGCTGTTAGAACTTCTTATTGCATCGATGATTAAAAACAAAACAAAAAAACCACAGCTCTAACGTTTGTGCAAAATGTTTGGATATATTTATATAGCATGAGGGGGAGGATTTTCTTCATTCTAAATGAATGAGCAATACCATTAAAAGTTTATGGGTTGGCCGGGCGCAGTGGTTCATGCCTGTAATCCCAGCACTTTGGGAGGCCGAGGCGGGCAGATCACCTGAGATCGGGAGTTCAAGACCAGCCTGATCAACATGGAGAAACCCTGTCTCTACTAAAAATACAAAATTAGCCAGGCGTGGTGGCGCATGCCTGTAATCCCAGCTACTTGGGAGGCTGAGGCAGGAGAATCACTTGAACCCGGGAGGCAGAGGTTGTGATGAGCCAAGATTGCACTATTGCATTCCAGCCTGGGCAACAAAAGCCAAACTCCATCTCAAAAAAAAAGAAAAAAAAAATTTACGGGTTAACCAGACTTTAGTCCTGAAGGATGTTCTATAGAAAGTAAAAGCCTATTAAGCGGACCCCTTTGTGCCAGAATTGTATTGCATTTGTAGCTAGTTGCATCTGGAGGTGCTGAGGAAATGATTGTCAATACAACTAGATTTCCATATTGCCTTTTATCTCTGCAACCCGAGAAGTGTACCGTTGAACAAGTACTTGAAAAAGTTGTGTGGTTTAGGTTGCATTAGAACTAGCAAAAATCTCTGAAATCTTCTCTGCTTGCACTGCTGTTATCAGTAATCACAGGGAACTGTTTTACTGAGTTCCACACCAAACTTGATACCATCACAATTACATTTTAGATGCACTTGAATTGCCTTTGTTTCAGCTAATAGTGTTGCCTACCCTGGGAGATGATGATGAAACAAAACAGGTGGCGGGGGATAATTGGAATTTGAAATTAACTCTCACTTTCTGCTTCCTTCATGAAATGAACAGAAAAGGAGTGGTTAATCACTGAGAATAAACTTCATTCAGCTGGCTCACTGCAAGGTGTTGCCTTTAGAATACATTGTTGCTCTGATGGGCTGCTTTTGATTATGTTTCCAGCTGTTATTAGGGGAGCAGTATCATGTTTAAGGGGGAGTGTCTCAGCCTGAATCATTTGCTCTATTTTTTTGTATTGGTTTTATTTTTTGGATTAATGGTTTGAGTTGTTAAATGAATTGGAGAGTGAAGCAACATCCTGTTATCTTCTTGTCATCTTTGTCTTACCTCAGTGCTGTGCTGTCTGTAGGCACAGAGCAGAGCAAGCCTGTGCATGTTTTTAAATGGCCTTATGGAGGAGAAAGCAACCTCTCAGGATGCAAATGAGACAGAATTGTATGTTCTTGACACCGTTGCAAAAATCTTGTATTTGGAGTCTTTTAACTTAAGAATTGCCCAGAGTGTGGTCAGCCCCATGCTAAAAGGAGCACTTCTTTATGTCTGTGACATGAATATCCTTGTTATGTGCCTGACCATTCCAGATGTAGTAGTGTTGCCATAGTACCAGGTTTTATTAGTTTTCTGGTTATATTCTGCTAATAGCTAGATGGTATGGGAATATTTTTTCCCTTTACTTAAAGTACACAGTTTTGATTATCAATGGTTTGCAGGTATTTTAATTTTGAAAAATAATTGGTGAAGGACTAAGTAGAAATATGTGTCTGGGGTTGTATTTAAATACATGAGCAACAGATATGACACGTCCAGGATCGCTGAGTACTTGGACTCAGAGACAGCTATTACTCTCCTCTGCACCCTCTGGCATTTTTAGGAATTGTTGTCTTACCAGAATGAGAATTGGAAAGTTACCAAATACTGGTGGTTTGGGATATGCAAAAATCCTTGATGGATTTTGAAAGTTAAAAAAAATGAGAGTTAAACAATTATGTATAGCTTGCTCTTTTGTTTTTGTTGTGTTTTTTTTTCTCATTGTTTTGGTTATTAGGCACGTGTAGCCAACCTCATGGCTCCTAGATGGCTTGCATTCCAATTAAAATAGAAATATTTGCTTTAAAATTTTCAGTATATGTAGTGCTTGCTTATTAGTGTCATGGGATCCTTGGGGTGTCATTTTGCCAGTGAGAAACCTCTGTGGCCATGGCCGCGGCACCTTCTGCCTGAATAGTGCTCGTGCCCACTGGGCTCATTCTGCCCACTCAGTCTTGCAGGCTGTGCTCAGCTTGTACTACCAGCCTGGATCCCATACCTGCCAAGGGCAAGCCAGGTGCAGAGCAGCGAAGGGTGTGTGGACAAGCTAGCACGGTGTCTGGCCACTGCACACAGCCAGGCACTCTGGCTGCTGTGGTGGGGTAGGCATTTCCAGGCATAAGCACAGCTGCCGGTTCTGTGTGAGGCTGCAGCTGGACCAGAGTATCACATGCAGCTTCTGCTGCGGGTGCCCACGTCCGGACAAGGGGAACATGGGGGCATCCAGAAACTTGGAGACACCAGGAACTTCAGAACTCCAAAGAGGGCGTCACAGCCCTGGCTTGGGGAGACCCTAGGTCTGAGCTCCCCAAAGGGCCCCAGCTCTTCTCTCTTTCTGATTGCCTACCACATGGTGAGCAGGGGGGGTGTTTCAGCCCTGTTTGCGTTACAGCTCTTTCAGTCCCGCCATTTGGTAGGTCCTGAGTTCTTGTCCCATGCCCAGAAAGAATGAAGTATGCAGACAACTGGGGGGTGAGCATACTGGAGAGGAGCTTCATTGAGCAATAGAACAGCTCTCTGGAGACCCAAAGTGGGTAGTTCTTTCTGCAGCCATGTCGTTCTGATGAGTGTCTAGCTCTCAGTGGAGAGGAGACCCACAGTGGGTAGATCCCTTTTGCATGCAGGTTGTCCCAACATCTGTTTGAGTCTGGCTGAGTCCAGGGTTTTTATGAGCTCAGAAGAGAGGCAGTGTGTGCTGATTGGCCATGGGTGGCCATGGGTGGGCCCAGAAAAAGCACCATAAGTTCTCACTCTGGTCTGTGGACTCTTAACCAGAACTGACAGCCTAGCCCCCATGCCTCAGGCCGTCCCTGGCTTGAAGATGGGGCTTCACCGGAAACCCACCCCTTTCCGCCCAGGAGCCTGCCTCCTGCCACCGTTCATGTCATCCACAGTGCCCAGGCTGTTCATAGCAAGGGATGCCTGCAGGCCTACACTGAACCGGCCTCATTCCTCCCTTGGCCTCCCTCCCATGCTCATTGGTCCCCAAAGTCCAGAGTGGGCTGAGACAGCAGGGGCCTGGTGTATCAGCACTGCCCCAACCACATGTACACCTGGCCAGGTCACAGCATCACCTGGGCTCAGCCACAATTTTGCTCCACCCCAGAGTGGGTGCTGGGAGTGGGGAGAGGCCAGGCAGCAGGAGTGGCATTTCTGAGCCTGTGGGTGTAGCTGTGGCTGGGGGCTGCAGCTGCACCCAGGAGCGTGGGGCCCCTGCTCCAACAACTTGGAAGAGGGCAGGGCTCCCGCCTGTTCCCAGCTCCTGCCAGCTCCATGGAGTGTGCAGCCCTGGCCATGCCTCTCCCACTGCAGCTGGCTTCTTTGCAGCAGCTGCTCCAGATGGGCCGCTGCTGCCATCTTTAGGTCCCTCTCCAGACTAGTTAATTTTAAATTATTGAACCTTCTTGAGCTCAAGGTTAGCAAGCCTAAAAGGGTGAGTCATGTATTAGAGGGTTGCAAAAGATTCAGTGGTGGAAGGACAGAATTTTTGATCAAATTTTGCTTTGTATTTGGGCTTGCAGGAACTGTGGAAGGTGCATCAGTGAAGAAATGGACCAATGTGTATAATCATGGTATCTTCTTGCTAACCATCACCACCAGCTCTCCTTAATAAGTGAGCAAGAGTGGGTCAGGGGAGAAGGAAAAGAGGTCAACATGAAGCTAAAGCAGCGAGTCGTGCTGTTAGCAATTCTCCTTGTCATTTTTATCTTCACCAAAGTTTTCCTGATTGACAACTTAGATACATCAGCTGCCAACCGGGAGGACCAGAGGGCCTTTCACCGAATGATGACTGGCTTGCGGGTGGAGCTGGCGCCCAAGCTGGACCATACCTTGCAGTCTCCCTGGGAGATTGCAGCCCAGTGGGTGGTTCCCCGGGAAGTGTACCCTGAAGAGACACCAGAGCTGGGGGCAATCATGCATGCCATGGCCACCAAGAAAATCATTAAAGCTGATGTGGGTTATAAAGGGACACAGCTGAAAGCCTTACTGATACTTGAAGGAGGACAGAAAGTTGTTTTCAAACCTAAGCGGTAAGTTTTCATCTGGGAAACTGCATGTGCTAGTTGGTTGATTGATTTAACTTGGGATTTATATAAGATTTATTTTATCATCTTCTCTTGGAAGTCTCTTCAGTAAAATAAGAGGGGTAGACTAGATCTCTAAAGTCTTTTCTAGCACTTAACATGAATCTGTGTTTATAGTATCATACAGAATAGTTTTCCTGTGTCCTACCTACTCATTTTTCCCTCTCTGCCCCGGAACACCTGGTAACTCACTGGTCTTTTTACTGTCTCCATAGTTTTGCCTTTTCCTGAATGTCATATAGTTGCAATCACAGTATGTAAGCCCTTTCACATTGGCTTCTTTCACTTAGTAAAGTGCATTTAAGATTTTTACATATCTTTTTGTGGCATGATAGTTCATTTGTTTTTATCACTGAATAATATTCCATTGTCTAGATGTACCACAGCTTAATTATCCATTCACTTACTGAACGACATCTTGGTTGCTTCCAAGTTTGGGGCAATTGTGAATTAAGCTGCTATAAACATCCATGTGCAGGTTTTTGTGTGAACATAAATTTTCAACTCATTTGGATAGATACCAGAAGCATAATTGCTGGACCACATGGTAAGAGTACGTTTCATTTTGTAAAAAACTGCTAAACTATCTTCCAAAGTAGCTATACCATTTTGTGTTTCTACCAGCAATGCATGAGAGTTCCTGTTGCTCCACATCCTCACCAGGGTTTGGTGTCAGTGTTTCAGACCACAGCTATTCTATACATCTCTCATTGTTTCTTTCACCTGTTTTAAGTAAAGAATTGGGCCATTTTAGTTACCTTAGTAACTAAATATGTATGTTGTTCATGATCCCTTTGGACTTCCTAGGGATCTACAGAGATAATTTGTGTGACAATTCTGTGACATAATTATTTTTATTTATTTATTTATTTATTTCTCTACACAAGACAGCTTGGAGGGTATAGTTAATTTTCTAAAAACGTTTTCTGAGTGTATGAATCTGAATTAGGTTAACATCATGATGGTGATTTGTATTCTTTTGCCAGGAGTTAGTTACCAATGAATATTCCCAAAGTTTGTAATGTCTGAAATCTTTTGTGTACTAAACATTATTTTAATTCCTCAGTAGAACTTTTGAAAAAATTATAACATGACTTTAGATTTCTTTCTGGAGTGGCAGAATAAATGTACGGAAAAGATGTACAAAGTTCAACTCCCTTTCTTACCCAACTATTAGTAAATAAAAGGCAGTCAGAGCATGAATGTATAGGGAGCCCAGAAATCGAAGGGATCACTATTGGTCTGGAACTGAGAAATATATGTCAGTGATGTGGAAATTAGGAAAGTTAAAAAATGTGGTAGACTTTCAGAGAATAAAAATTTGATTGGGACTGGGCTTGGTGGCTCATGCCTGTAATCCCAGCACTTTGGGAGGCTAAGGTGGGTGGATCACTCCTGGGCAACGTAATGAGACTTCATCTCTATAAAAAATAAAAAATTAGCCAGGTGTGGTGGTGTGCACCTGTAGTCTCAGCTACTTGGAAGGCCGAGGTGGGAGGGCAGGAAGATTGCTTGAGTACAAGAGTTTGAGGCCGCAACAAGCCGTGCTCATGCCACTGCCCTCCAGCCTGGGTGACAGAGTGAGACCCTGTCTCAAAAAAAAAGTGGTTATGTGGGCCTGGGATCTAATTTCTGTTTAACGCACACTATTTGCCAGGGATTACACTAAGTACTTTTGTATCTGTTAATCCTTTAAACCCTTATAGGAAGGTTTAACCTTTGTGTACAGTTTCAGTTCTTTTTTCAGAATAAGAAACTGAGGTTTAGAGAGTGTAACTAACTTGACAAGGTCATTTCACATTAATCAGTGGTACGGAAGTTTGAACCCAGATTTGTTAGAGTTGTAAGCAGCTTGTATTCTGCCACACACATGGAATTCACTTAAGTTTGTTTGTTTCCCATAAGTGATGACGTGGAGCACCCATCATCAAAAATCACATTTAGCTTTGAAGTATAGTCTTTGACTTCTTGGCCTGAGAGATTAGCAGCATAAACGGAGTGATGGAAAAAGGCAAACTAAAGATAAAAAAAAATTTGCATATAAAGAGATGGTCAGGCACACTGGCTCACACCTGTAATCGCAGCACTTTGGGAGGCTGAGGTGGGCGGATCACTTGAGGTCAGGAGTTTGAGACCAGCCTGGCCAACATGGCGAAACCCCATCTCTACTAAAAATACAAAAAGTTAGCCGGTCGTTTGGTGTGTGCCTGTAATCCTAGCTACTCAGGAGGCTGAGGCAGGAGAATGACTTGAACCTGGGAGGCAGAGGTTGCAGTGAGCCGAGATTGCGCCATTGCACTGCAGCCTGGGCAACAGGAGCAAAACTCCATCTCAAAAATATAAAATAAAATAAAGAGATGAGTTGTGAGCATTTTGTGTTTAAATAAGAGGAGATCCAGCTGGATGCAGGGGCTCACACCTGTAATCCCAGCACTTTGGGAGACCGAGGTGGGTGGATCCCCTGAGGTCAGGAGTTCGAGACCAGCCTGGCTAACATGCTGAAACCCCATTTCTACTAAAAATACAAAAAATTCGCCAGGCGCGTGCCTGTAATGCCAGCTACTCTGGAGGCTGAGGCAGAAGATTCGTTTGAACCCAGGAGGCAGAAGTTGTAGTGAGCTGAGATCGTGCCATTTGCACTCCAGCGTGGGCAACAAGAGCGAAACTCTTGTCTCAAAAAAAAAAAAAAAAAAAGAGATCCTCGTCACACCCACCACTTGTACACTAGGGAATTGAAGGGGAGATGGGACAGCAGGAAGTATGTTAGAAGACAGATATTCCCAAGAGTGTGCAGTGTTAAACCAGGTACTTTGCAGGATAGGCTTGAAATGTTCGGACAAGATGTAAGTGGAGGGAGGAGAGGCCAGACTGATGAGTAGGGGAGGTAGCAACAGATAAATGCATAACCTTAGTCACTTCTTGCTTCATCTTATATCTCTTACTACCACTGCAGCCTTCTCATTACCTCCCTCCTCCAGACCATCCTGGAAACCACTTCCGTTCTTCCCCAGAAGATTCATATTATCACTTTGTTCCCCAGCTTTAAACCATCCAGGGACTTCCCATTGCCCACCAGACAAAACCCAGCCTCCACAGCCTAAGGTCAAGCCCCTGACTGTCTGGTCTCCCTCTCTCTGCTCAGCATTATCCTACCTTTGCTCTTTGTTTCTGTCAAACTCTGGCCCTGTGCTCCCCCATCATCTCCTAAACAGCCTGTGTCCACTCCCAGCTCCAGGGCACTCTCCTCTCCAACTCAGCAAGGTTTTTTTCGGCCCCTGCCATAGGTGTTAACTTTCTTAGTCGGTGTACATACTGACTTGTGCTGCTTTATATCAGCAACTATCGCAGGCTGGGGAAAGTGGGTGTAAGTTTAAGTGCTTGCAGAAATTGACTCTAGTCCCTAAACACCCAGCAAAATGCTGTTCTGACCCCTAGGGCTTCAGAGGCTATTTTGTCCTGGTGTAAGTGCAGATTAATGTCCTTGGTCAGACTCTGACGTCCTTCAGCAGAAGGATAGGAATGATTTATTGGCAGTTACTGTATGAATTTTGCTGCTCTGTCAGTGGCTTAAGATGGATCACTCTCTGGTAAGAGGAGAATCTAAGTCCTTTCTCTAATAGCCACTTGTGGTTTTAACATTTCTGGAGCCTGGTTATCCATGTCCTACTCTCAGGGATACAAGTTGCGTACAGTATAGGTAGATGATATATATAGGAATACAGTGACACTTTTATTTACACATTTTGCCTTACATTGTAAGTAAGGGTAATTTTTTTTTTTTTAATGTAGCTATTTCCATTCTAGAAGTAATTGATTTTCACAGGCAAAAACGGCAGTTATGTTGGAAAAAGAACAAGAAGGCAGGGGCCTAGGAGCGGCTACGTAGAAGTGAATGAGTAATCTTAGGAAGTACTAAAAGGGACCTTGGAGATCAGCTAGTTCAACTGTCCATTTTACAGGTGAGAAAAATGACATCCAGAGTTCCGTATTTCACATAACCAAAACATGTGCTAAGGATTCAGGCCTGACTTCAATGTAGTTCTTTTGATTCTTACTCCTTTTCTCTTCCCGCCGTCTTTTCCTCTCCTGCCCACTCCCGAAATTCCTGTATTTCTCTAAGCTTTTTTGCATTTTACTCCGAGCAGCCTTTAGATGGATTGGAAAGCTCTCTAATGTTTCACTGAAAGGAACGTACTGCACTTCACCACATACCTTCCTGTGGCTGCCCTGGAGTACTAAAAATAAAGTATTCAAGGATAGCCTACAGCTGTAGTAGAGAGAACAGTACCTGAATAGTGTCAGCTTTTTGCTGCAGTGGTATTTCAAATTTGACTTTTAATTTAGAGGTAGCTAATATAAACCTTTTAAAAAATTATTCCTAAGTAATCCTTTGCACTAGGAACAAACAAACAAATACATTTGGGTATATTGACCATGCTAAGAAGAAACTGGTGCGCAACCAGATGGTGATCAACGTGGCTGTCTTCTAACAAATGCTTCATCATTTTACCTTGAAGATATGTTTTGTGGAGATGATTTCACTGTATATTCTAAGGTCATTTAAGTTGAGGTTCACTGCCTTTTATACTGTTTTCCACTTCCCTATTGCTGTTTTAGCATGGGAGAGCCAACTATCCTTAGTGGAACTTTTCTTCTCCGTATCAGTCTCAATTGATTTCTATTTCATAGGTCCATTGTAAAGTCTAAAAGGTCTCCTTTAGATTCGGGAAATGCAGGAGACCAGTAGAGAACATAGGTGAATTAAGTGCTTTTTTTCTTCCCAATTAACACATTTAAATTCTATCTTTTAAAATGATTAGTAGAAAGAAATATGCCAGTCTTCATTATCCTTTGCTTATGTCATGCATATGATAGAAAATCATCAGAATGCAGTTTAAGAGGAAAGAGACCTTAGAAATTACTTCTTAGTCCAGCCCCTAATATTGTAAATAAGGAATCTGAGACCCAGAGAAGAGAAAAGTTTTGCTCAAGCTTACCCAGTCAAGTAATGGCAGCCATACCCACTTCCCACTGCCAGTCCAGGACTCCTTGTACATCATAAACTTAAAAAAAAGAACAAGAATGGTTATTCAAACAACTTTTTTCAAAAGCACCATTACCTTCCCATTAATAAAGATTGAGTTATATCAGACCATTTTCCCCCAAATTTAAATTTCTCTTATAAGCTTTGCCACAGCCATTCTGGTAAGCAAAAGTTTTTTGTTTTTTGAGACAGAGCCTCACTCCGTTGCCCATGCTGGAGTGCAGTGGCACAGTCTCGGCTCACTGCAACCTCTGCCTCCCAGGTTCAAGCGATTCTCCTGACTCAGCCTCCTGAGCAGCTGGGATTACAGGCATTCACCACCACACCCGGGTAATTTTGGTATTTTTTAGTAGAGACAGGGTTTCACCATGTTGGCCAGGCTGGTCTTGAACTACCGACCTCAAGTGATCCACCCACCTTGGCCTGCCAAAGTGCTGGGATTACAGGTGTGAGCCACCGTGCCTGGCCAGCAAAAGTTTTAATTACACGTTTTTCTTCATTTCTTCAGGTCAGTCTAATAAACGTTTTAGTAGACATTTATTAAGCACCAACTATGTGCTTAATAACAGTGTGCTGGTGGTACAAAGACAGTCCTTGTCTTCTAGAAAACTACCTTGTATCTGTACTTAAACTACATCAAAAGCCCTTTAGTGGGGCAAAATGACATCTTCCGTGTTTTGTTCTTAGAATGATTGCTGACGTAGATAGAGAATTCTAGTTTCCTTCTCTACCTCATCTTCACTCCATCTACCGGCAATTCATGCTAATCCACAGTTGTTCTCAGGGTTGACAGAGAAGGTGACTATAGCAGAATCAGGCTTGCTAAAGCTCGTATTCTACCACTTGTGCTGTCACCTGTTACTGGTGTAATCCATGTATACATCTGTGCTTCCCATTCACTTTGCAGGTATAGCCGAGACTATGTGGTGGAAGGGGAACCATATGCCGGTTATGATAGACACAATGCAGAGGTAGCAGCCTTTCACTTGGACAGGTACGTATGGTCACAGCAGGTTATGTTCATTTTGTTTACTTTCAAATATCTTGAAGAGGACTCATGGACTCCTTCAAAAGGATGCAACACTAATAAGTAACTTGTTACCCCTTTTAGATAGCTAATTGACTAGTTCCATTACACTTGTATGAGTCTCATAATTTGGTTGGCACTGGGAATACTAAAGTATTTTAATTCCGTGCTTCTTTAGGTCATTTCATTTCTGGCCTGCTCTGTTATTATCATCAGTGAAGATATTCTTGGTAAATAAACTTTGAACTTAAATATCTGAATTGAACTAGTCATTAATTGGGCCTAGCCGTCCTGTTGTTTTGTTATGTATTTGTTTTAAGTAAGTAATGCTGACTTATCCCCATGTGCTGGAAACATATAGCATGAAATATATTATGAGTTTTATTGTTCTTTATACAAACTATGCACAGCTTCAAAAACCAGAATAATTACAAAAGGAAAGAGCCGGGCACAGTGGCTCACACCTGTAATCCCAGCACTTTGGGAGGCCAAGGTGGGCAGATTGCATGAGCTCAGGAGTTCGAGACCAGCCTGGGCAACATGGTGAAACCCTGTCTCTACTAAAATACACAGAATTAGCTGGGCGTGGTGACAGGCACCTGTAGTCCCAGCTACTTGGGAGGCTGCGGCAGGAGAATCGCTTGAACCTGGGAGGCAGAGGTTGCAGTGAGCCAAGATCGTGCCACTGCACTCCAGCGTGGGCGACAGAGTGAGACTCTGTCTTTAAAAAAAAAAAAGAAAGAAAGAAAATAGATGTGAATTATAAGTTTGTAAGTTAATTAGGAAAACTCTATTTTTTTTTTTTTTTTCCCAGCAGGTTACTAGTCAGGAACCTTGCAGCTGAACTGTCTGGTATCCCAGTTACTCTGCTGACCAGCTCTTTCATCAGGCCATATTGGCCAACTTTAAAAGAAATTGCTCACAATATTTGTTTTAAAAAATTAATTTATGACTGATGCAGTGGCTCATGCTTGTAATCCCAACACTTTAGGAGGCTGAGGTGGGTGAATCACTTGAGCCCAGGAGTTCCAGACCAGCTTGGTCAACATGGTAAAGCCCCGTTTCTACTAAAAAAAAATACAAAAATTAGCTGAGTGTGGTGGTGTGTGCCTGTAGTTTCAACTAGTGGGGAGGCTGAGGAGGAAGGATTGCCTGAGCCTGGGAGATCAAGGCTGCAGTGAGATGTGATTACACCATTGCACTCCAGCCTGAGCAACAGAGTGGGACGCTGTCTCAATAAAATAAAATAAAATAATAAATAAATAAATTTTTTGAGACAGAGTCTCACTCTGTCCTCCAGATTGGAGTGCAATAGCCTGATCTTGGCTTACTGCAACCTCCACCTCCCGGGTTCAAGCGATTCTCCTTTCTCAGCCTACGGAGTAGCTGGGACTACAGGTACATGCCACCACACCCAGCTAATTTTTTGTATTTTTAGTAGACACGGGGTTTCACCATGTTGGTCAGGCTGGTCTGGACCTCCTGACCTGAGGTGATCCGCCCACCTCAGCCTCCCAAAGTGCTGGGATTACAGGTATGAGTCACCACGCTTAGCCTAAAAATGAATTTATAAGGAAACCAGAAAAAAAAAAAAAGATGAAATGTTTGTCTTTTTCTGAATTAGGATTTTGTAAACATAAAAGCAGTAACATAAAAATCACAAATTCAATAGTCTTGACTAAATAAAATAATGAACATAAGAAACAGCAAACAAAATTTAAAAGCAAACAACAAACGGAGAAAACACTTGAATCTAATATAATCTGAGTATTAATAGCCTTAATATGTATTTATACAAATCTATATATGTATGTTAAAACTCTGTTAGAAAATGGGTTAAGAGCACAAACACTATCAATTGCTAATAAATATGTGGGGGCAGGGGGAAGTACATCCTCACCAGAAATTTTTTAAAATTCAGTTGAGATACTGTTTTTACCTGTTGAAAATGGCAAAGCTTAAAAAAAAGATAATACTTTATTGGGAGGAATACATTGAGATTCATATGCTGCTTATGGCATTGTTAATTGTTTCAGTCTTTTTGTTAAGAACCCTAGCATTGTATATCAAAATTAAGGATAAATGTATCAACATTAAGGAATGTTTATATTGTTTGAACAAATAACTGCTTTTTTATACACATATCTAAGACATTTCTAGGAAGTACCCTAGAGAAAGAATACAAAACTCAAAGATATATATACAACAGTCTTAGCTGTAGCATTTTCAGTAGTGAAAAACTGGTTGTAACCTAAACATCTATTGATATGGAAAAGCTTAGATACATGTGTACAATACCATGAATTTTTGCTGCCCCTTTTAAGACCTAGTGGTGTACAGTTGGATAAATCCTACTCCTCACTTAATGGCACACTAGAATCAGGCTTTCCAACACCTTATCTGTTTGCCTCTTTTCTTCATCCCCAACCCCTCCATCCTGTTTGTTGGACACCAACAGGCATAAAATTCCTCATTTCTGTACCAGTGTTTTGTATTACCCAACACAGTAAGTTTTGTTGATATATATGTAAAGTGATATTTCATTGTTATTTTGTATTTCCCCATTACTGGCAAAGTTTGTCTTTTCACAGCAGGACACCTATTTGTTAACTTAGAGTACTTGTGTACTTTTGATGTTAACTAACTGTAATGTTTCAGTTTGTGACTTGTGCTTTGGGAGTCTTGTATTTAAAAGTCCTTCCCTACCTCAAAGTCTGAAAGATGTTCTCTTGCCAATCCTCCTGTCACTTTTGTTAAGTGTCACTGTAGCCAGCCTCAAGTGCTACAGTAACATTGCCCTTCAATGCTAAACTGGCTGTTGTTCTTGGGCTTGGCAATTTTCAATGGGGAGAAAAAAATACTTCCCAATCTAGGCATGTGTTTGTAGTCCTGGCTAACAGGGAGGCTAAGGTGAGAGGATCACTTGAGCCCAGGAGTTCCAGGCTGCAGGGAGCTATGATCATGCCACTGCACTCCGGCCTGGGCAACAGAGTGAGACTCAAAAACCAACTAACCAGCCAACCAACCAAACAAACACACACACACAAAAAACGCTTCCCAACCTTTTTCATTTGTGGATCCTGATACTTTTTTGCTTTGGGTTGCTATTTCTTCATTACAGTCAGATTTAATCACCTTTCCTTACCTCAGGGGGGATCTCTGGATTTCTATGTTATTTTGACAAATCTGTTGACTTGCCTTTGTGGTTTTTCTAAGACTGGGTTTAGGACAGAATCAGAAGCCCTAAACAATACCCATTTGTAAAGGCTTTCAAATGACTGGGAAAAGGTTCATGATACAATGATGAGTAAAAAGCAAGATATAAAACTGCTTACGATGTAATCTCAATTGTATGTGTATACATAAGTGTGAGTGTGTGTTTATATACCCACACTTAAAGGGAAAACATGCTGATATGCCAAAATGTCAGTACCTGTAATTATTTTGGGGTTGTGGAATTATAGGTGATTTTTATTTTCTTCATTATAAATTTTCTGTGTGTTCCAAATTCTGCCTCTCCAACTTTTGGTCAGTTAGTGTATTTTTTTAGCCAGGAAATTTCATTTTTTAAAATAAATTATTGTTTTCAACCTTTTAGATTATTAGAGGTATCTTCAAATTATTTATTTAATTTGCTCTGTGGGTTTATCCTTTTAGATCAGTCTGCTTTTTTTTTTTTTTTAATCAGTGTGCTGTTTTATTTAAAGATTTGAACCCATATGTGAGTTTGGGTTCCATTTTTTTTCTAATGCTTTCCTAAAATATATTTTTAATTTTTATTATGAAAAAATTTCTAACCTACAAAAGTAGAAAGAATAGTATAATGAGCCCATATACCCACTCTGTAGATTTAACAGTTGTTCACATTTTATCAGATTTGTCTTATTCTTTTTACTGAAGTGTATATTAAATTACACACACCTTGACATTAAATTCCTAAAAATATGTGCCTCTAAAAAATTAGATTTACCTACTAGCTAAAACCCTTTACACATTTGACGTGATGAACTATAATTTTTAAGACTGTTATTTAAAAAACATCCCCTAAGATTTTTCTCTTCTATTTTTCAATCTTCCAAACCAGGATTCTGGGTTTCCGCCGAGCCCCCTTGGTGGTTGGCAGATTTGTTAATCTTCGGACAGAGATTAAACCTGTTGCCACGGAGCAGCTGTTGAGCACCTTCCTAACTGTAGGTAAGAAGATTGTAGAGGACATTTATATAGGGGAGTGATTAATAAGTTAAAATGGGGCATTGTTGAGCAAGCTGGTTTCTGACTTTTAGGAATTAAAGAACTTAAGGGAATACAAAAGCAAATCAGACAACCAGCTCTCACGTTATTTGGGAAAATGAGTCTAAAGGAGATGGCAGGAAATTGAAATTTTCCTGTGTACTCTTGTGTTGTCTGTGACATAGGAAGTGAGGTAATTTAGTGATAGTGAAAGCAGGTGATTATTTCCTTCTGCTTTCTCTTAGAGCTATTAAGTCTCAAACTCAGAATTTGGCCTAAATTGGTTATTGTTTGTATATCATTGGCTCAGTTGTTTTTACATATGTGTATATATATGTTTTCTTGGAAACTGTCTCCATCTCCTTAGAATTGAGGAAATCTTAAGGCAACTCTTTGGGAGGCTCAGAAATTCTTTTGTAAGGTTGTATTTGGACCTGGAAGATCAATAGGCCTACTACTTCTTCAAGGGTTAACCTATAACTCATCGTGCCTGGAACTGGCTATGTTGCCCCTGGCCTCTGTTTTCCATTATCTTAACTCTGAGGTAAGAGATCTGAGCTAAAATTCTCTCTCCTGTTCTTGTGAGCAAGATGAGAATGGGAAGAATCCAAAAGGGCTGTGGTTTCTTGTTTCCACCTCTTCACCTTGACTCTTTTTCAGTGATACAGTGCTCTGCATTAGGGTGTGACTGTTGAAACAGACATTGCAAGATGAACTTCACCTTGCTTTTTGCTAGAGTGAGTGGATTTACATTTAAAATGAGGAAAAACTGAATATTTAAAGGACTTATGACAGATTCATCATTCAGAATTTCAACTTATAAGGCTTGGGCTGTACTTTTCTTATAGATAACCAAAAGCATACAGTGTTAGATATTGTATCAGATATTTTCTAATTACCTTTGGTTGTTCAATTTTATGCTTAGCAAACATGAATTCCTGGTGGGTGCTGGGATTGAGGGAAAGAGTCCAAGAAGAATAAGTCAGGGTACCTGCTCTTCAAAGGCTCACGTATGGTTAACTCATACATTGTATGAAGTGTGGGGAAGGGAAAAGCAGAGGGTTTGTAGAGGAGGTTATTAACACTTGAACTGAGTATTGAAGAACCAGTATGAGTTACCAAGGCAGCAAAGAGGAAAGGGCATTGGCAAAATAATGGGAATATTAATGAGAACAAGGGCATAAAGACTGGAAAGTAATAGGGCGGGTAGAGGGATTTGACTGGAGGTGAAGTTTTTAATAATCATCTGACCTCAGCATCACCTTGTTGTTATTGTTGTGTTTTTAAGACTTTATTGTTTTTAGAGCAGCTTTAGGTTCACAGCAAACCTGAGAGGAAGGTGCAGAGATTTCCCAAATAACCCCTGCCCCTCACACGCATAGTTTCCCCCATTATCAACATCCCACATCACAGTGGTACAGTTGTTAAAATTGATGAGCCCACGTTGACACATCATAATCACCCAGAGTCCATAGTTTACATTCGGGTTCACTCTTGGTGTTGCACATTCTGTGGGTTTGGACAAATGTTTAATGACATGTATACATCATTATAGTATCACACAGAGTATTTTCACTGGTCTAAAAATCCTCTGTGTTCTACTTATCATTCTCCACCCCTCTCTCCAATCCGCTTGCAACTACTGATCTTTTTACTGTCTGCATAATTTTGCCTTTTCGAGAATGTTACATAGTTGAATCACAGTATATAGCTTTTTCAGAGTGGTTTCTTTCACTTAATAATATACATTTAAGGTTCCTCCATGTCTTTTCATGGTTTGATTTCTCATTTCTTGTTATTGCTGACTAATGTTCCATTGTCTGATATACCACAGTTTATCCATTTACCTATTGAATGGCATCTTGGTTGCTTCCATGTTTGGGTAATTGTGAGTAAAGCTGCCATAAACATCTGTGTATAGCTTTCTGTATTGACATAAGTTTTTAGCTCTTTTGGGTAAATACCAAGGAGTGTGATTTCTGGATTATATTAAGAGTACATTAGGCCGGGCGCGGTGGCTCAAGCCTGTAATCCCAGCACTTTGGGAGGCCGAGACGGGCGGATCACGAGGTCAGGAGATCGAGACCATCCTGGCTAACACGGTGAAACCCCGTCTCTACTAAAAATACAAAAAACTAGCCGGGCGGGGTGGCGGGCGCCTGTAGTCCCAGCTACTCCGGAGGCTGAGGCAGAAGAATGGCGCAAACCTGGGAGGCGGAGCTTGCAGTGAGCTGAGATCCGGCCACTGCACTCCAGTCCGGGCTACAGAGCAAAGACTCCGTCTCAAAAAAAAAAAAAAAAAAGAGTACATTTAGTTTTGTAAGAAACTGCCAAACTGTCTTCCAAAGTGGCTGTACCATTTTGCATTCCCACCAGCAGAGAGTGAGAGTTCCTGTTGCTCCTCATCCTTGGCAGCATTTGATGTCATATTTTGGATTTTGACTATTCTAATAGGTGTATCTCATTGTTTTAGTTTGCATCTCCCTGATGACATATAATGTAGAGCATCTTTTCATATGTTTATCTGTCATCTGTATATCTTTGTTGAGGTGTCTGTTAAGGTCTTTGGCTCATATTTAAGTTAGGTTGGTCGTTTTCTTACTGTCAAGTTTTAGGCGTTCTTCCTATAGTATGGCTAACAGTCCTTTGTCAGATATGTCTTTTGAAAATACTTTCTCCAGCTGGACATGGTGGCTCATGCCTGTAATCCCAGCACTTTGGGAGGCCGAGGTGGGCAGATCACTTGAGGTCAGGAGTTCGAGACCAGCCTGGCCAATATGGTGAAACCCTGTCTCTACTAAAAACACAAAAATTAGCTGGGCATGGTGACACACACCTGTAATCCCAGCTACTCGGGAGGCTGAGGCAGGAGAATTGCTTGAACCCAGGACGCAGAGGTTGCAGTGAGCTGAGATCATGCCACTGTAACTCCAGCCTGGGTGACAGAGTGAGACTCTGTCTCAAAAAAAAAAAAAAAGAAAGAAAGAAAATATTTTCTTCAAATGTATAACTTGTCATTTCATTCTCTTGTTGCAATTTTTAAAATGTATTATTAAGTAAGTTGATATAATAATATTAAGTAAGTTGGTATATAATACAAGAATAACTAAAATCTATGTAGCCCCAGCAACCTACACAAGTATGTTCACACTGTTACTTTATCTGATCCTTTTGATGATAGCATGCAATAAGTAGGTGAGGTGTTGCCCACATTTTATACCTAAGAGTGGAGGCTTAGAAGTGGCTAATGACTTTCCCAAAGTCACAAAACTACTAATTGTTAGCCAGGATCCAAACTCAGATTTTAAGACTCTAAAATCTTTCATTAGTTTATAGTCTTTATTTATTCAGTACAACTTTATTTCACTTCTGTTTGACAGGCGCTGAGCTAAGTGCTGAATATGCAAAACTGAATGACCTTCCTATCTTCAAGGATCTTTGTCTAATGGGGGAGCCAGACATGTACAAAGAGTCTGTGGACTGTGGTGGTGGGGGTGGGAGTGGGAATAGGGAGATGGCCTAGAAGTTATGGCCAGGATGACAGTTAATTAGTGAAGGTGATATTTTAACCAAGTCTTAAAGGGAAAATAGCAGTCCCTTAGGTAGATACAGTGGGAAAGAATATTTTGGGTTTGTATTTAACATTTTTTGTGCTATAGATACCTTTGGCAGTCTGGAGAAGCTTATGGATCCTTTCTAAAAATAAAGGTTTTAAATACATACATAAATTAAAATACATAGACTTATAAATGAAACCAATAATATTGAAGTATAATTTCAGTATCAAAAATTTTAAAAAGCAAGTTTAGATACAGTAATATGTGCTTTGTTGTTTAACACATTAAATAAGCTCTATCAGAGATTAGTCACTATTGTGATTTCAAACTATGATTATAAACAGTATTTTGAGATTATCTGCAACAATGCTAGTATGATATGAAAAATCTGTGATTTCTTGTAGAGACAAAGTCCCATGACGGTTTGCTCCCTGCCATCATAATAGAAGGAGATGCTAATTTTTAGTAGAAGTTAGTGAAAATAAAGATGTAATTTTTTTCCCATCGAGCTTACAGGCCCTATGAGTTGACCCTGTTCCAGGAAGAGGACAGAGCATGGACAGAGGTGAGGAGCAATGAGAGAAAAGCAACAAGCTCAGGAGACTGTGCTGTTTAGCTGAAGGAAAGGATATGTGGGGCTGGCCAGTGAGGAAGACAGCTGGTCAGGACAGTGTCACTGGAGGGCCTGTGTACCATGCTTAGGAGTTGAGACTTTCTCTTTAGGCACTAGAAAGCCATTAAAAGAGTTCGAATATGGAAAAATCAGATATGAATTTCAAGAGCAAATTGTGGCAGCATTGTCAAGGGTGCATTGGGAAGGGGAGAATGAAGAGCTGAGAGCACTCTGGAAGTGCTGTGAAATCATATGTAATAAGAGAACTAAAGCAGGGACAGGGAATAGAAAGATTTAAGAGCTATTCAAGAATTGGAATGGAAAGAATTTGGTGAACATTTGGGCTGGGAGAGCAATTGAGAGAGAATAAAAAATTAAGAATGACTCCTAGGTTTCTGGATTGGATGACAAGTGATTAGTGGAGCTGTTAACTATTTTAGGAATGTAGGGAGAGGAGCATATTTAGGGAGGTGGAGCAGAGAAAGATAATGAATTTAATTTTGGATATTTTGTTTCCTTGACAGGAACATCCAGGAGTAAGTGTAGACTAATCATTTAGGAGCTAAAGCCTACAGTTTAGGAGAAAAGGCTTGGCTGAAGCCACATATTTTATTGTCACAGTTGGTAGTTCACCCAAGGAGAGCATGGAGACTGAGGTGGTCAGAAGACCAGTTTTTAAAAGTTTGGCAATCCAGGAAATAGAGATTCAAAGCCTCAGTTCATGGCACTGAAATGGGGATATTGAACTCTGGAAAGGTAGATTGAACCATGTTATTAAAAATAAGTAGCTGGCATCAATTGGTGTCTGACAATATGTCAGGCACTGTGCTAAGCATTGCCGCCATGGATTGCCTCATTTACTCTTCACAACCTAGTGGTGGAGGAGGTAGTATTGTTGTCTCCATTTTACAGAAGTTGCTTAGAGAGACTAAATTACATGCCCAGAGTCTTGCAATCTCATGATTAAACTAGTCTAAATGTTAACCCCAGGAACCTGACCTCAGACTCCACATTCTCCCTTCCAGTTATGAAGATTCTTATTTACCAAACTCAAGAGTTTGTATTTTATCCTGTAGGAAACAGGTTTCCTATACCAGGCAATATTTTGTTTGTTTTAGGGCTTTGAATTTTTTTTGAATCAGTAATGGATTCACACAATTCAAAATTCAGGGAAATTCAGGCCGGGTGTGGTGGCTCACGCCTTTAACTCCAGCACTTTGGGAGGCTGAGGCAGGAGGATCACATGAGGCCAGGAGTTTGAGACCAGCCTGGCCAACATAGTGAAACTTCGTCTCTACTGAAAATACAGAAATTAGCCAGGTGTGGTGGTGCTCGTCTGTAATCCCAGCTACTTGGGAGGCTGATGCAGGAAAATCACTTGAACTCGGGAAGCAGAGGTTGCAGTGAGCCAAGATCATGCCACTGCACTCTACCCTGGGAGACAGAGCAAGATTGTATCTCAAAAAAAAAAAAAAAAAAATTCTGTGAAATTCAATGAAAAATTTTCTTGTCCGTCCAGTTCCTTCCCCTTTCTCTGAGTGGCAACCTCTAATTAGTAATTTCCTTATGTCTTTTTGTGTATGAATATATATTTTTATCTATCTCTACCATTTTATACAACATATGGCCCACTTTGCATACTTTTGCATCTTACTCTTTTTACTGAATACATCCTAGAAATCTGTATCATGTACAATGAGCTTGTTGTTTTACACTACAAAGTGTTCCATTATTTGGGTTTACCATAATTCATATAACCAGAATTTTATTGGACTTATATGTTGTTCCGGTATTTTGTTTTTACAACCAGTGTTGCCCAGAATTACCTTGTATATATGTCAGGGGTCCCCAACCCCTGGGCTGCGGAATAGTACCAGTCTGTGTCATGGTAGGAACTGGGCCGCACAGCATGAGGTGAGGGGTGAGCAAGCATTACCGCCTCAGCACCAGCTCCTTGTCAGATCAGTGGCGGCATTATATTCTCATAGGAGCACAAGCCCTATTGTGAACTGCGCATGTGAAGGATCTAGGCTGCGCGTTCCTTATGAGAATCTAATACCTGATGATCTGACATGGAGCAGTTTCATCCTGAAACCATTGCCACCCAGCCCCCAACCCCTGTCTGTGGAAAATTGTCTTCCACAAAACCAGTCCCTGGTGCCAAAATGGTTGGGGAACCCCCATACGTATTATTTCACACATGAGCAAGCATTTCTAGAAATGGGAGTGCTACGTCAAAGGGCGATAGGTGTGGCCACATTATCCTATATAGATGTTTAACCAGTTTATATTCCCATAGAAATATATGAGAGTGACTCTTTCTCCTAGCTTCACCAACAATATGTTATTAAACTTTTGATTTTGTGTATTTCATATGTAGCATCTTTTTGTTTGAGAGCTATTTGTATTTTCTATTAACTGTCTTTGCATATCCTTTGCTCATTTTCTGCTGTGTCATTGGTCTTATCGCTGTATAGGAGTTCATCCGTAGGGCGGATAGTCTTCTGTGACATGAGATGTAAATACTCTCTCTCAAATTTTTTTTTTTTTTTTCCCCCGAGATGCTCTGTCACTCAGGCTGGAGTGCAGTGGCACAATCTCAGCTCACTGCAACCTTTGCCTCTCAGGTTCCAGCAATTCTCCTGCCTCAGCCTTCCGAGTAGTTGGAATTACAGGTGCATACCACTACTCCCGGCTAATTTTGTATTTTTAGTAGAGACGGGGTTTCACCATGTTGGCCAGGCTGGTCTCAAATTCCTGACCTCAAGTGATCAGGAGTTCACTTATTATGATAGTTGCCAAATGGTGATTTTTTTTTTTTAATGCTCTCTCTCAGCAGTATCACCAAATGATAATTTTTGTATTTTTATTTTTTTTGAGACAGAGTCTCTGTCACCCAGGCTGGAGTACAGTGGCACGATCATGGCCCACTGCAGCCTCAACCTCCTGCTCTCAAGCAATCCTTCTACCTCAGCCTCCTGAGTGGCTTTGACTACAGGCGTGCGCCACCATGCCTGGCTAATGTTTTTACTTTTATTTTTATAGAGACGGTTTCATTGTGTTGTCCAGGCTGGTCTCAAGTGATCCTTCTCCCTCGGCCTCCCAAAGTGCTGAGATTACAGATGTAAGCCACAGTTCCTGGCCTTCAAATGATTTTTTTCATTCTATCATTGCTTCTAGACCTATTAGTTGTCATTCCGTTGAAGGGTAGAACTCCCCCGCCTCCACACATTCATGTGTTTATTTATATCACCATGAACTCACTATGAGCTACAATTTATTACCATTTATAATTATTCAGATGCTTAAACTGTTCCACATTTGGCCAGTGGGAACCTCTACAAACTAGTTCCTGTGTCATTTTAGAATGGTCCCATCATTCTCCAAGCACTTTCTTGCAACTAGCATAATGCTGTGGTCCAGGCTCATCTTGTACTTTCTCTAACCCAGGCCTGAAGTCAGCTATTTCTTCACATTAAAAGGATACAGGCGTATCTTTTTCTGTATCTGTGTATTAAACCCATCAATTCAGGCCTGGCACAGTGGCTCATGCCTGTAATCCCAGCACTCTGGGAGGCTGAGGCGGGTGGATCATGAGGTCAGGAGTTCCGAGACCAGCCTGTCCAATATGGTGAAACCCCATCTCTAATAAAAATACAAAAATTAGCTGGCGTGGTGGCATGCGACTGTAGTCCCAGCTACTCGGGAGGCTGAGGCTGGAGAATTGCTTGAACCCAGGAGGCAGAGGTTTCAGTGAGCCGAGATCACGCCACTGCACTCCAGCCTGGGCAAGAGAGAGAGACTCCATCTCAAAAAAAACAAAACAAAAAACAAACAAACAAAAAACCCATCAATTCAAACTAGTATTTCCAATTCTAATTCACCACTGCAGGATTTATCCTGGCTTTCTCTCTTTCTGTATGTTTAACTCTCTTCTCCACTGGTGAGAAGCCTGGTTACTGTTACACTCAGTCTGTCTACTTATTTGCTCAACTTCCCCCCTTCCTCTATACCTCCCCCTCTATGTAACCAAACTCTTGGCCACACTTGGCCTAGTACCTGACCTTTTTGCCTTCCCCTGGGCACTCTGGCCAAGATCTCAGTCCTAATGAAGAAGAGGAGGACGTTACTTTCCTTTAATTAAAGTTGAGTTCAGGCCAGGCGCGGTAGCTCACACCTGTAATCCCAGCACTTTGGGAGGCCAAGGTGGGTGGATCACCTGAGGTCAGGAGTTCGAGACCAGCCTGGCCAATTGGTGAAACCATGTCTCTACTGAAAATACAAAAATTAGCCAAGCGTGGTGGCATGTGCCTGTAATACCAGCTACTCAGGAGGCTGAGATGGGAGACTTGCTTGAACCTGGGAGGCGGAGGTTGCAGTGAGTCAAGATTGTGCCACTGCACTCCAGCCTGGGTGACAGAGCAAGACTCAGTCTCAAAAAAAAAAAAAAAAAAAAAAGGAAAATTAGTGAGTTTAGAGGCCGGACATGGTGGCTCATGCCTATAATCCCAGCATTTTGAGAGGCTGAGGTGGGCAGATCACTTGAGTCCAGGAATTTGAGCCCAGCCTGGCCAACATGGCAAAACCCCATCTCTACCAGAAAAATAAAAAATTAGCTGGGCATGGAGGCATACACCTATAGTTCCAGCTACTCAGGAGGCTGAGATGGAAGGATGTCTTGAGCCCCAGAGGCAGAGGTTGCAATGAACTGAGATCACGCCACTGCACTCCAGCTTGGATGACAAAGCCAGACCCCGTCTCAAAACAAGAACAAAAACAAAACAAACAAAGTGAATTTGAAGGATCCTGGTGATGGTAGTTGATGCCAGAGAGAGAGACTGGGTAGAAAGGATACAGGAGGCAAGGGCAACTTGCTTTTGGGTGTATATCCTTTTGTACTTTTTGAATTTTTTTTATACTGTGTGCTTTTTTTATTACCTATCCAGGAAAATAAATGTTTGAAATATAGTAAACTCAGGGTCTTTGTTTTCACCATGCCTATTTACTTAGCTACTCTGTTCTGCATTATTTGGGAGAGAATTTGGAGTCTTCATTATTTCCTTAAGTGTATTTGGCTCCTTTCTGTCCTGTAGGAAACAATACTTGTTTTTATGGGAAGTGCTATTACTGCCGAGAAACAGAACCAGCTTGTGCTGATGGAGACACAATGGAGGGATCTGTCACACTTTGGCTTCCAGATGTGTGGCCTCTGCAGAAACACCGTCACCCATGGGGCAGGACTTACCGAGAAGGCAAATTGGCCAGGTAAATGCTCCTATGAGCCATTACTTAATTCTCCCCTTTGCCTAGCCAGGTGCCAATTCTGTAAAGGAACCAGCACTTCTGTCCAAGAGTAAAAAGAACTGTGGAGTCAGGGGCAAACCCAGTAGGTAGGAACTCTGTCTTCTCTTTGTATGTAACAGTGCCAGGTACAGTGTTGACACTCAGTGCTGGTGATGCTGCTTGTCTCCAGGTGGGAGTATGACGAGAGCTACTGTGATGCTGTGAAGAAAACATCCCCTTATGACTCTGGCCCGCGCCTCTTGGACATCATTGACACAGCTGTCTTTGATTACCTGATTGGCAATGCTGACCGCCATCACTATGAGAGCTTTCAAGATGATGAAGGCGCTAGTATGCTCATCCTTCTTGATAATGCCAAAAGGTGAGACCAGCAGGACTGTCCTTGTCAGGGAGGGGTTTCTGTGTATGAAAGAAGGGCATTTTCCAGAGCATCCTGGAGAACATCCAGAATACAGTTGATAGGTGGCGTCCTTCTTTTTCCACTTGGAGTCTTTGCTATTGGTACCTGTCGTTCTCTCTACTCTCAGGGATCTCAGTACTTCAAAAAATGGAAAAGCAATTCTTTCCAAGGAGTCTAAGACTCTATGAGCCTCTTCTCAGACAACTGGAAACCAGGGTCATTCATTTGTTACTACCTACATCATTCTTTCTTGGCTATGATATTTGGTGTTTAGAAACTTGAGAGATACAGATGTAATGGAGTGTAATTTGTTATTAAATTTATTCTATCCAAAGGTTCCTGCAATTAAAAAATTAATTTATTTGATAGGATGTTTTGCTATTTTTATGTTAGTCTAGGCCCATACTTTTGCTATCATGGGAAGAAGAGCTGTTGCCTAGTGTGGATTTTATATATAACGACAAGTTACTTTTATCTTGAATAAGAAAAGTTTATTCATTTTGAATAAATAGAATGTCCTTATTTTTTTAGGCCTGAGCTATTTGGAGAGCACATTGTATTTCCATTTCATATTCTGCATTCTCCATGGTGGCCACTTTAGTGCCACACTTTTTTAAAAAATTTTTTTTGAGGTGGAATCTTGCTCTGTTGCCCAGGCTGGAGTGCAGTGGCACAATCTCAGCTCACTGCAACCTCTGCCTCCTGGGTTCAAGCGATTCTCCAGCCTCAGTCTCCTGAGTAGCTGGGACTACAGGCACCCGCTAATTTTGTATTTTTAGTAGAGACGGGGTTTCACCATGTTGGCTAGGCTGGTCTTGAACTCCTGACCTCAAGTGCTCCACTCGCCTCGGCTTCTCAAAGTGCTGGGATTACAGGCGTAGTGCCACCCTTTTAGTTGCATTTAATAAATACTTACTAAATAGAATGCTTCCTTGGAGTACAGAATTTTCCAGGCCCTAGGTCACTACTGTTAACATTGGTTGTTGGAAATAAGCTAAGACATGGCTCCTCAGCAGAGTGCTTGGGCAGCATTTGCTAATGATGCCACCATCTTATACTGAACACCAGGCGCCTTGTGCTTCGCGAAAGATGGTGACGACCACAGAAAATGAAAGACCAGCAAACACTGCCTCTCCCTCTACCCCATTACAGCAAAGCACATAGCACTCATCCTGTGATACACATGATATTTGTTATTTGGTATATATCAAAATAGTTGCTTTGTCCATTCAGGCTGCTATACAAAATCCCTTGGACTGGGTAATTCATAAGCATTGGAAATGTATTGCTTAGTTTCAGAGGCTGAGAACTCTTAAGATGAAGGTGCCAGCAGATTCAGTGTCTGGTGAAGGCCTGTTCCTCAGATGGTGCCTTCTATGTGTCCTCATATGGCAGAAGAGGTGAACATGCTCCCTCTGACCTCATTTATAAGGGCACTAAACCCGTTGATGTGGGCTCTTCCCTCATGGCTTAATCATCTCCCAAAGGCCCTACCTCTTAATACTGTTGGACTGTTACACCAGGGATTATGAATTTGAGGGGGACACAAACATTCAGACAATAGCAGTTGCCTTTGCCTTGAATTACTGGAGGACCTACACTGTACTAAGAACTACCAGACTCCAGCTATTAAGGTGAACCTCTGGAAAGAGGGAAAGGTTGACAGTTTTCTAGAATCAGTTCTCCTTTTCTAACTCTGAATTGCTGCTAAGGTAATTTTTGCATCCGCTGTGAATCAGTTTCCTCAGCCTCTGTGAACAGTTTTTCCAATTTGAATCGGTACATATACTTACTTGTAGGGAATAGGATATTGGTAATTTGGGAGTAGAACAAGTGTGACTTCTTTTTACAAGTAGTGGTCATCTGCTTGTTTGTGGGAATCTAATATAAATGGCCTTTATTTCTCTCTCTGGTCCTTAAAACCTTTGCAGGCTTAGGGGTCTTCAAGTTCTCCCTTTGGTCTGTGAACTCCACACTGTGTTTACCATAATTATGCTCCAGTACCTTCTAATATCTTGGCAGGAAAAGGTCCCTTGTAAATGAGTATATTTGTTGTCAGATATTTTAGTACAGGCTGTTAGGGATCCTGTGTCTAATTGGTCATGCCCCGCTTGTTTTCAATTTAAGTGATTTGAGCTGCTGGAGCGTGAAATTATCTAGGATCACAGTTGAGTTTCATATAGAATTTGCTATTGCTTTGATGCTAAGAATGGTACTTCCACCGAATTCACTAAGTTTTAATTTAATTTTCAGCTTTGGGAACCCCTCGCTGGATGAAAGAAGCATTCTTGCCCCTCTCTATCAGTGTTGCATGTAAGTTGTGCATAGCAAATACATGTGCCTGCATTGCCTTCCTTTCCAGGCTCAGGTAACAGTACAAACATTTTCTTGGCCCTCAGACTTTCTGATGCCTGAGCCGTGCTTTTCATACTTCTCCAACCTAGAACCTCTGGAGATCCTGAAATGGGATATGAACCTCTGGAGATCCTGAAATGGGATATCAGGGAAAAGTGAAGGCAGATAACCCACAGCTCAGAATTCATCTCAAATTTTGTATGAATAGAAGAGTGTATGTATTCAGTAATACATGTCTATGTTTGGTTTAATAGCAGAATATAATCACCCACCCCACCGCCAAAAAAAAAACAACAAAAAACAAACTGAATAAAATCTGCATCCCTGGTTACTACACCTGGTTACCTTGTGGTTTCAAGTCCTCTCACTCACCCATCACATACCACCTGGGGTTCGCATATTTCAGTTTGAAATTAAACCAAAAGTAACTTTTTCCATAAATAATAATTGATTTTGGCCAGGCACAGTGACTCACTCCTGTAATTCCAGGAATTTGGGAGGCCGAGGTGAGTGGATCACCTGAGGTCAGGAGTTCGAGACCAGCCTGGCCAACATGACGAAACCCCATCTCTAATAAAAATACAAAAATGAGCCGGGCATGGTGGCAGGCACCAGTATTCCAGCTACTTAGGAGGCTGAGACAGGAGAATTGCTTGAACCTGGGAGGCGGAGGTTGCAGTGAGCCGAGATTGCGCCATTGCACTCCAGTCTGGATGACTGAGTGAGACTCTGTCTCACAAAAATAGAAAATAAATAGTAATTGGTTTTTTTAAAAAACCGGGAACAGAGAAATTGAAAAACGAGTCAAGAAAATGAGCTAAAGTCTAAGAAGCTTCTTTTCATCATTCCTGAAATTATTTTATTTTTTTATTATTATTATTTTTTAAATTTGAGACAGCGTCTGCGTCTGTCACCCAGGTGGGAGTGCCGCGGCGCAATCTCAGCTTATGGCAACCTCTGCCTCTCGGGTTCAAGCAATTCTTGTGCCTCAGCCTCCCGAGTAGCTGGGACTACAGGCACCTGCCACCAAACCCAGCTAATTTTTGTATTTGCAGTAGAGATGGGTTTCACTATGTTGGCCAGGCTGATCTGGAACTACTGACCTCAAGTGATCCACCTGCCTCAGCCTTCCAAAGTGCTAGGATTACAGGTGTGAACCACCGCGCCCGACCATCCTGGTGTAATTTTAGAGCATGCACATGAAGAATCAGCTGGGATTCACCTTGCTTAGCTTCATAGAAAAGCAAGTTCAAAAGCACCACTTAATACTGGTCAGCTCCCAGCAACATCATATCACATAAGACTGCCCTAGCAACTAGTCTCTTTCTCTTCTTTCTTTTTTTAAATAACAACAAAATTCTGTAGAAAGTAACAGTTTACCCAGGCAGTCCTTAATTGTCTTTATTAATGATGGGAACTAGTGATATATACAATCAAGAATTGTGCGTTTGTCTTTGAAGATGTTTTTGTGGTAGTTTTATCAGTCTGGTTCAATCAGGAGATAAAAAAGACACAGTGTGTTAAACAGAGGTGTTTAATATAAATAATTGTTTTTTTTTTTTTTTTTTGAGACGGAGTCTTGCTGTGTCACCCAGGCTGGAGTACAGTGGAGCGATCTCGGCTCACTGCAACCTCCACCTCCCGTGTTCAAGCTATTCTCCTGAGTCAGCCTCCCAAGTAGCTGGGATTACAGGTGCCTGTCACCACACCTGGCTAATTTTTGTATTTTTATTAGAGACGGGGTTTCACCATGTTGGCCAGGCTGGTCTAGAACTCCTGACCTTGTGCTCTGCCCGCCTTGGCCTCCCAAAGTGCTGGCATTACAGGCGTGAGCCACTGAGCCCAACCCAATATAAAGAATTATTAAATTCCAATAACAGGAGTGACTGTAAAAGAAAACTAGGGCTGAGGGAGAGTACCCAAGGAAGGACAAACTTGGAAGGGGATCCCCTCCCAATGACTGGAGTTTGGACTTCAGTGGAGAAGGTTTAGCTCAACCCACCAGATAGCAGAGAAGTTTGCTAGTTTGCAGGTGCTGAACAAGCCAGAAGCAATTCTCCAGAGTGCAGGCTGGGTGTACATTCAAGCCATAGCTGGTGTCATGACATGCAGAGGGAGAGAGAGAATCCAGTAGGAACCTTCCGTGCTGCAGGTGAGGCACACATGTGGGCCTTCAGAGGGAATTGGGGCCAGGGTGAGCAGATGACCTTCAAATCTCTGGTTTCCATGTTGAGAGGGCCTCAGGAGAGTTATCCCCAGGCCAGGCTAAGGCTTGGGGTCACCAAGGACCCACACTTTCTGGGAATGTGGCTAGACAGGGCTTCACTGGATGACCTCTGTGCCTCCCCAACACCACTATCGACCCACAGAAGCATTTGGAGAGCCCCTTCCCCTTGCAGTGTGCCCTTAGCGCCCTCTAGTGAGAAAGCTTTAGGGGAAAGATGCTTAAATGAATCCCATCCGTTGTAGCAGAGCACATTTTGGTTTTGTTTGGTTTTTTGAGATGGAGTCTCGCTCTGTCGCCCGGGCTGGAGTACAGTGGCATGATCTCGGCTCACTGCAATCTCCGTCTCCTGGGTTCGGGTGATTCTCCTGCCTCAGCCTCCTGAGTAGCTGGGATTACAGGTGCCCGCCACCACGCCCAGCTAATTTTTTGTGTTTTTAGTAGAGATGGGGTTTCACCATGTTGGTGGGGCTGGTCTGGAACTCCTGACCTCATGGCCTCCCAAAGTGTTGGGATTACAGGCGTGAGCCACTGTGCCTGGCCAGCAGAGCATATTTTGAAGAGTGAATTTGGAGCTGAGAGGAAATAACGTGATAACTTAGTCACAGAGGAAGCTCTGATGCTCTGGGCATTTGTAATATATTTCAGAATAAAAAATAACTGTACTCCGTCTGTGCCTGTTTGTCCCTTCCATGCATGCTTTATGCAACAGTCTTCCTTAGCTTTTAAATTGTTGCACAACAGGCTGCCTTTTACAGAATCAAACATTTCTGCGTACCTAGTAATTCCTACTTTGCCCACAGAGAGCTAAGAACTTTTCTTCTCAGATAAATAAAAGATACTCTATAGTTGGTGTCTTGTTTGTTTTGTGCTGCTATAACAGGATACCACAGACTGGGTAACTTGTTTTATTTTATTTTATCTTATTTTGAGAGGGAGTCTTGCTCTGTCGCCCAGGCTGGAGTGCGGTGGCGCGATCTCGGCTCACTGCAACCTCCACCTCCCAGGTTCAAGTGATTCTCCTGTCTCAGCCTCCCAAGTAGCTGGGATTACAGGCGTTCACCACCATGCCTGGGTAATTTTTGTATTTGTAGTAGAGATGGGGTTTCACCATGTGGCCCAGGCTGGTCTCGAACTCCTGACCTCAAGTGATCTGCCCCCTTGGGCCTCCCAGAGTGCTGGGATTACAGGCATGAGCCACCACACCTGGCCAGACTGGGTAATTTATAATGAACAGAAATTTATTGGTTCACAGTTCTGGAGGCTGGAACGTTAAATATCAAGGTGCCAGCATCTGACAAGGGACTTCTTGCTGTGTTGTCATGTCACATGGCAGAAGGCAAAAGGGCAAAGAGAGAGGGCAACAAGGGGCTGAACTCGCCTTTTTTTTTTTTTTTTTTTGAGATGGAGTCTCACTCTGTTGCCCAGGCTGGAGTGCAGTGGCGCAATCTCAGCTCACTGCAACCTCTACCTCCCAGGTTCAAATGATTCTCGTGCCTCAGCCTCCCAAGTAGCTGGGATTAAAGGCACGTGCCACCATGCCCAGCTAATTTTTGCATTTTTAGTAGAGATGGGGTTTTACCATGTTGGCCAGGCTGGTCTCGAACTCCCAATCTCAGGGCCCACCTCGGCCTCCCATAGTGTTGGGATTACAGGCATGAGCCACCTCTCCGGGCCTTGAACTTGCCTTTTCATAGCAACATTAGTTCCACCCATGAGGGCAGAGCACTCATGGCCTAATGACCTCTTAAAGACTCCACCTTGATACTGTTACAATGGCAATTTCAACATGTATTTTGGAGGGGACAGACATTCAAACGGTAGCAGTTGGTGAAATAATTAAGGCAGATAGGTATCCTTAAAATAATTTTTTCGTAGGAGAAATTGTTTTAGACTTCAGAAACACAAGAAGAAGGAAGCTTATAGTACCCATTAACGTCTAAGGATACATCCTCTTGTTAACATTGTAGTGTACTTCATTCCAATCCGTGTGTGTGTATTTTGTTTTCCTACAGATTTGAAGTGAAACAGGGTTTTCCTCCAACCTTTTCCCCCCACCCAGCATCATACCATAGGCATTTCCCATTCCACTAAATTTTCAAAATTGTTTTTAACGGCTGCATGGTATTCCTTTCAATGGATGAACCATAATTTAACTATTTCCCAATCATTAGACGTTCAGATTGTTTAACATTTTTCCTGTTACAAACAGCACTGTGGTGAACATGTGTGTAAATCTCTGTACATATCTCTGATTAGTTACACAGAAACAATATCAAAACATGTAATGTTGCTTACTCATTATGTAGTGGTAATTCTAAAACAAAAATGATTTAAAGTATTTTACCTAATTTTTTTTTACTTTTGTCTGCCTAGCAGGCTTTCAAATTCCGTTTGATAATGAGAGGTTTTAAGTAACTTGTTCTATAACTTTTTCTTCCAGCATTCGGGTTTCTACCTGGAACAGACTGAACTACCTAAAGAATGGTGTGCTAAAGTCTGCCTTAAAATCTGCCATGGCCCATGACCCCATCTCCCCAGTGCTCTCTGATCCTCATCTGGACGCCGTGGATCAGCGGCTCCTGAGTGTCCTGGCCACTGTGAAGCAGTGTACCGACCAGTTTGGGGTGGACACAGTACTGGTGGAAGACAGGATGCCTCTCTCACACTTGTAATTCTCGACACAAAATAAGTGAAACTTCTTTTTACAAAGATAGAGAAACAGCACAATCAATTCCAAATGGTATGAGATGGATTGGAAGTGGCCAGCAGCAAGTTCTGGTGACAGGGGACAGGGTGGCCTTGGATGTCTTTGGTGTTTTCTGTAGTGGAAACTAAAGCAAAGACCACAAGTTTCAGAGCATAGAGACATTCCTGCTGAATCGCCTTCTGACCTCCTCGGCAATTGCCCATTTTAGCACTGGGCATCACAGTTGGTCAGTCTTAATTCCCATGCCAAAGGACAAAGAGGTGTGACATTTGGATAGACGAATACTGGGGTTGGCTCTGGAGCGTGTGTTTTGAATTGAACCTTGCAGTCCTTTCTCCCGCCTGTGGATTTTGTGGAAACACTTTGCAATCTCTTGTGTCTTTTTTTTTTTTTTACCAGAACTAGTTAAATCAGAATGCTTACTGTCCTACAGAGTGGCAGCAAATAAAACCTTGCATTCCATCAAGCCAAAATAGCACACTCTGTTGGAGGAGATACATGTTTCAGACAGAATTGGAGGGAAGGACAAAAACAGAAAGGTGTTTGGGCTTTTAAGCCATTGGGTAGTATTGTTTTGATGATCTTAGAGGAGGGAAGAAGAGAGAGAGACCCACTGGTGGAACCAGAATCGGGCAGATGATTGAAATTGAAAAACAGGTTCCCTTGTATTTAGGATCTTAAGGTGTGTAAAAAGCAAACATGACTTTGCACCTAAGTAAATTCTGCATTCTCATAGTTGTATCCCAATTAACCAAAAAGTTGTCTGGAGAAAATGCTATTACAATCTAAGCATGATTCTCTAAGGAGACTAATTTTTTCCCCTTTTGCCGAAAGCAGTCCTTCCCAAATTAACAAAGCAAACTGAAATAATACCTTGAATAACAGGTAGCCTGTGGTCTCTGTCATCCTCATTTCTCTTCTGAAATGAATTTCCACCTCTGCCTTTAGGGTATTTTGTCACTGAAGCTGCTGTTCCCAAGAGATCAGCAACCTTTTTGCCCCTTTCTCCTAAGAAAGGGACACTCCTACAGGTGAGAGTGTATACCTTACTGGTGGCTGGACTGGACTTATCTTGTGATTTGGGGCCACGGAAGACTGGAAACAAAGATTTTAAGCCGCCGCCTTCTTCTTTTTTTTTTTTTTTTTTTTTGAGACCAAGACACACTCTGTTGCCCAGGCTAGAGTGCAGTTGCATGATCTCGGCTCACTGCAACCTCCGCCTCCTGGGTTCAAGCGATTCTCTTGCTTCAGCCTCCAGAGTAGCTGGGATTACAGGTGCCCACCACCACGCCCAGCTGATTTTTATATTTTTAGTAGAGACAGGGTTTCACCTTGTTGGCCAGGCTGATCTCAAACTCCGGGCCTCAGGTGATCCACCTGCCTCGGCCTCCCAAAGTACTGGGATTACAGGCATGAGCCACCATACCCAGCCAAGATTTTAAGCCTTCTGAGCCTTGAAATTGAGGAGGTTAAAAGGAAGAGCCTTAAGATTTTGATTTATGTCAAATGCTAATTCCATCATTCAGTCTTGTCTGGAGTTCTGAACCCATGATGTTATATTATGCTTCTTTCTCCTCTTAGCACTCTCAAATTTCAGGTTGTAAAGCACAGTTTTCATTTTGTGTTCTGGCAAAGTGATGTCGACGTGTAAGTAGTTGCAGTAGAACACAGGGGCAAAGGAAGACAGGGCTGATGTGCCCGCTCACCTGTGGACTCAGAGCTATGTGCTTTGCTCCTGCATCTTGTCAAGGTGCGTTCCAGCTTTTCATTCCTGTCAAGCAGAGGCGAATATTTAAACAGTGTGGTTGAATACATTTAATGCCAGCCATTGGAAACTAGTTTTAGGCACCCACTCTCAAAAACAGCTTTAGAATTTATGCCCAGTTTTCTTGCATTGAAAGATAACTGAGTAACCTGTAACTATTTTTAAATAGCATGAAATTAGGAAACTTTTGTACATTTTATATACATTTTGAGATGAAGAGAACAATGGGCTGGGTTATAAAAAGGGTGTATTGAATTTAAGAAGACAGAGACTAGCACAAAACACAGAATTCGTGTTAACCAAAGGAGGCATTGATTTCAGTTTTAAGGCTACTCACTGTTGTGTGTCCAGGGAAATTCATAGCTCAGTATGAGAATACCTTGGTTAGTGCTCACCCACAAGCTTCCAGGAGCCAGCTGGGAGGAGACAATAGAAAGATATCAGCTCTGCTCTCCCTGTAAAGGTTAGTTGAACTGTTACGGATTTGTGGTCTTTCAAATACATGATGCCTTTAGTATGCCACACTGAAATGAATAAGAAGTCTGAAACTAGGAACTTCATAACACTGAAGGCAGAGATTCTGCTAAGGAAAAAAGCAGGCAGGAAAGAAAATGTCTCAATCCTTTCTTGAAAGCATTTGCAGAAAATATATCATTTCATTTTATTCGCATCTGTTTTCAGACTCGTGATCTTAAAAGGCATTCTGATCATAAATTTAGAATTTTCATCCATAAAATTTAGAACTCTAATCCATAAAGTTAGAATTGAGCTAATAGAGTGGTGTGACATGGCACTGAGAATATAAATTTTTGTTCTAAGTCAGGATTTCAGTAAGCTGGAAAAGTATGTTTAGGCAAATCTTGGAGAAAACCAACCATAAACTTACAGCTCTAAAATTCAGAAAGCGCTAAAATTTCAAACACTGTTTGAAAGAATAGGTCGGGGCCGGGTGCAGTGACTCATGCCTGTCATTCCAGCACTTTGGGAGGCCGAGTTGGGCAGATCACCTGAGGCCAGGAGTTCGAGACCAGCCTGACCAACATGGTGAGACCCTGTCTCTACTGAAAATGCAAAAATTAGCAGGGCATGGTGGCATACGCCTGTAGTCCCAGCTACTCGGGAGGCTGAGGCAGAAGAATTGTCTCTGTCTTAAAAAAAAGAAGAAAAAAAAAGGAGGTGGATTTTTTTTTAAGTGTTGTCACACTGTCCTACTTTCTCTATTAGAATCTAAGGCTGTTACAATCAAGTCGTTGCAGGGTTTGGATCAGCTGTAAGGTATGCCTACCAAACATCCAAAGGTAGACGTGGAGACATTTTAATACTACAAAACTAGGAAAATCCGAACTCATGGCCATTTCCTGCCCTCTTCCCACTTGTTACAAAATGTTTATTCTAAAGTTTGAATGGATAAATTTGAGTGTAAAGGTTTTGTTATAAAACTTTCTTTAGTATGAGGCTGCATTGTGGGTTTGGGGGAGGTGTAAATAATTTTCTGTGTAAAACAAATTCATAGGATCTGATTTGCTCAGAGTATTATTCAAGAATGTATTAATAAGGCATTGCCCCCTGTTTGCACTCAGGATTAATATGTCAAATGAAATTTAAGAAGGAAATGGAAGAATTCAGGTACATTAATTGCATATTATTTTGGGAAAGATGAATCCTATACATGGCAATTTTTCAATGTCATCCAAAGCCAGCATTGTCTTCCAAAGAAATCCATCTTTTTTTTCTAAAAAAAGAAAATGCTTTTGCCTTTCCTTCCCTTTCCATCCGCCATATTTCTTCAGCCTTTCTTCTTCTTCACCCGTGTATTCTTTGACCAGTAAATGGCCACACCTCAATGATGATAAAACAGCATCGTCAGTAAGCTATCTTATATGCCTCATCCTGTGAGTTTGAGCTTCAGGAAACATGAGTAAAGGTATATGTAATGTATATAGTCGTATATGTATTCTAGCAAGAAAAACATATTTATTTTAACAAAGGGGAACACTGACTTAAATTGCTGAAGGGCTTGCAGCTAGTGAAAGGTTCTCAGTCTCTGAGAGTGGACCCTAATTAACATAAAGACTATTCATCAGCAAATACCTACTGAGCAGCTCTAGTGTGCCAGCACAGGCCAGGCCTACTAGTGAGCCAGGCAAACCTGTCTTTGGGAAACTCATTCTACAGGGGAAGGCCAGTTTTTTTCCCTTCAATTCCTCAAGTCTGGGTGGTGACAAGGTAGGAGGGACTGGGTACTGGACTACCACAGGTTTTTAGGAACTAAGGTGTTTCTCATAAACACAAAATGTTGGGTGAAACTGGGAACAACTTACTCGGAAGCTAATTTATTTGCTTAAATGGAAAGTGTGGGAGCCACTACCCTGTCTTTTGATCTGCCAAGGATTTCCTCTCAGAGCTGTTGCACAGAGATTGTACTTGGTAAGATACCAAACAAGACAGATATGCATCTAAATTTCTAATGTGTTCTATGGGTTTCAATTCTGAAAAAAGAAAATGAATAAAGATTTTAATAAATATGATGTCTGATCTTTTCCTCCTCTTTCTCCCTTCAGGATATTTCCAGTGGTTCCTATTTCAGTTTCCTTCCTGTTTTGTTAGGGGACAGAAGAAGATTACATCTTTTGTGACCACTTAAACTTCCACAGGGATTGTTTCATAGTACCTGGTGGATTAGACCTGCAGATTTCCTCACCAGTCTTCAAACGGTTCATACTAGATTGTAACTGTACCAAAATTTTTCATGGGATCATTCTTAGGTGCTTTTTATATATTTAATAGTTAATTCCATTTTTGCAGCTTCCTTAGAGGTAAAGGATTATGAATCCTGAAGCACTTGTCAGCATACTACAAAAAAGGTAGGAAGAGAAGGCCAGTTGCCCTAATAGTAATTCTTAGGACACCTAGATTTTTAACTTTTCAGATGGAATCCAGCATCATAAACCTCAACCAGATAACTGAACAAAGCTCTTAAGATTTTTATTGGGCCAGGCGCCGTGGCTCACGTCTTTAATCCCAGCACTTTTGGAGGCTGAGGCCTGTGGGTCACCTGAGGTCAGGAGTTTGAGACCAGCCCAGCCAACATGGTGAAACCCCTTCTCTACTAAAAATACAGAATTAGCTGGGCATGGTGGCGCATGCCTGTAATCACAGCTACTCGGGAGGCCGAGGCAGGAGACTTGCTTGAACCCGGGAAGTGGAGGTTGCGGTGAGCTGAGATTGCGTGATTGCACTCCAGCCTGGGCAATAAGAGCGAAACAGATGAGCTGAGAAACATTCCTGTAATGTTTGTTTCTCATGCAGGGTTATTTAAATATGGAGACTTGCTTTTGTTTTGTTGTTTTTGAGACCGAATCTCAGTCTCAACAACAACAACAAAAAAAGCTGGGCGTGATGGCGGGCGCCCATAATCCCAGCTACTCAGAGGCTGAGGCAGGAGAATCGCTTGAACCCGGGAAGCGGAGGTTGCAGTGAGCCAAGATCATGCCGTTGCACTTCAGCCTGGGTGACGAGGGAAACTCTTTCTCAAAAAAAAAAAAAAAAGTTTTATTTGCAGCATATTTGTGATAGTTTTTGTCATTTGTGTGTGAATACATGTGGGAGGCTAGTAGAGCCTGGTCTGTGTGTCTCACTGACTCACCACATACAAATTCTTTTCCAGGCTAGAGTTCAGGATTCATTTGCTTCTCAAGCATATCAGAACAACTGGTATTAGAGCTTGAAAAAGGTAGCTGGGAGTAGGGAGTGTAGGGCTCTGTTACTGGGTAATTTTACCTAGTATGTTTGCTTATGAGACTGATTTTTAGCAGCCTTCATTTTGTAAAATAGGAATGGTCATAACCACTGGATTTCCATGGGTAGGGTTTTGTAAGGTATAAGCCCCAAGGAATAATGGTATTAAATCACAGTTTGTGAGATGTTTGGTCTGTTGTCAGTAGATCTTTGGGCCATTGTGCGGTGAGCTGTGGTATACTACTGACGTGATAGTGACTGTCTTTTTCCCTCAAAGAGCCTGCAGTCTAGACCTGGCAGAAAAAAAAACTGCTTGCCACGCACCAAGTCCCTCAGGAATTATATAAATTAATTGCAGTGAGAATAAGAAACAGGAGAGGATCATGGAGGTGGGGATTGGGAGGGGTTGGATTAGGCAGGACCTACATTGAAAAAGTGGAGATTGATCCAGGCCAGGCTTGACAAGAGGTGTGTATAGAACCCCTGACTCCGGAAATGCAGAACTATTTGCTTAGTGAATACAGGGCCTTCTGGGCCTGTACTTTCAGTACCTGGGTCACCAGAAATACTGCTTCAGGGGTTTCTCATTGTTCTAGGAAATGTGTGTGTGCCCTGTCTCTTAAGGACATTCTCAGTCCACCTGGAGTGCTGTATAGATGTTAAAGGAACATAGATGAGCTGGGAAACATTCCTGTAATGTTTGTTTCTCATGCAGGGTTATTTAAATATGGAGACTTGCTTTTGTTTTGTTGTTTTTGAGACCGAATCTCGCTCCAACACCCAGGCTGGAGTGCAATGGCGCGGTCTTAGCTCACTGCAACCTCCGCTTCCCAGGTTCAAGCAATTCTCCTGCCTCAGCCTCCCAAGTAGCTGGGACGACAGTCACGTGCCACCACGCCTGGCTAATTTTTATATTTTTAGTAGAGACGGGGTTTCTCCATATTGGTCAGGCTGATTGGTCTCAAGTGCTTGACCTCAAGTGCCTCAGCCTCCCAAAGTGCTGGGATTACAGGCATGAGTCACCGTGCCCGGCCGAGACTTGCTTTTGACCCAGAGTGTTTCCAAGGCAGATGGTTCTGACTGCCTTCGGCGGGGTTGGGAAGATGTCTATTGTAAGGCTAGGTCATACTCAGATGATATCAATAAAGGTGTTGTGTGCCAATTTGGCCTTAGGCTTTTTTTTTTTTTTTTGGATTGACAGTCTTGCTCCGTTGCAGGCTGGAGTACAATGGCACAATCATAGCTCATTGGCAGTCTCAAACTCCTGAGCTCAAGCAATCCTCCTCCCTCAGCCTCTCAAGTAGCTAGGATTACAGGCGTGCACCACCACATGCAGCTTATTTTTTATTTTTATTTTTGGTAGAGAGACAAGGGATCTAGCCTTATTGCCCAGGCTGATCTCAAACTCTGGCTTCAAGCGACCCTCCTGCCTCAGCCTCCCAAAGTGCTGGGATTACAGGCATGAGCCACGGCTCCCTGCACAGAAAGACTTTAAAAGTGCAGGTTTTGATTCAGTATGTCTGAGGCCTGAGATTCTGCATTTCTGTCAAGCTCTCCTGGGTGATGCCAGTGCTGGGGTTCTGGAACCACTCTTGAGTAGCACCGTAATGCTTGCTAAAGAATCATAGCTGTCTGTAGTTTTCCCAACAGTCTCTAGATGTCCCCATCATCCACGATACTGCTCCCAGACCTTTAAAATGAGCACAGCCTTCAAGCCCTGAGACCAAAAGGAGTATTTATTGAAATACTCAAGAGACTTGTCTAGAAACTGGTGTTTGGATTTATTGTTTCTACACGGGACTGACTGGTGAAAAACTGTTTACTTCTTTTTTTTTTTTTTTATAGCGAAAAATGTCAGCCGGGCGTGGTGGCTCACGCCTGTAATCCCAACACTTTGGGAGGCTGAGGCGGGCAGATCACTTGAGGCCAGGAGTTCAACACCAGCCTGGCCAACATGGCAAAACCCCGTCTCTACTAAAAATACAGGAAAAAAAAAAAAATTAGCGGGGCGTGGTGCTGAACGCCTGTAATCCCAGCTACTCAGGAGGCTGAGGCAGAAGAATCGCTTGCACCAGGGAGACAGAGCTTGCAGTGAGCCAAGATTGCACCACTGCACTCCAGCCTGGGTGACAGAGCAGGACTCCGTCTCTAAATAAATAAATAATAAAAATGTCTTGAAATCAAGTCGGTTGTCGAAGAACTTCCCAGCTAACCTACTTTATTTACCATGGGATGCTAAATCCAAGTCAGAACATCTCAGAAATGAGGAGGTAGCCCTACACGAAAGTTCCAAGCAAAGATAATTGTTTCCACAAAATCTTAAAACTTGGATTGTTTTAATAAACAATTGTTACTATTAATTTTTTCACCATAAATTCACTTATAAACTTCACCAGTATTAACTAAAGCCATCCTCACCTCCTGTGTAGACCACCCAGAGCCTCCTCCAGGGCTGGGTAGATACAAAAATAAAAGTGGCCACATATTGAGTGTTGATGATGTGCTCATTGAATGAGCTCATTTAATCTTCACAGCAGCCCTATGAGGGGACTATTTTATTATCCCTTTTTATAGGTGAGGAAACAGGCATGGGACCGTTCAGTAACACACAGGGTTGCACAAATAGAAAATGGTAATCACTATGATAGACTGCCATTCAGACTGAAGCGACATTTGTTGAGTGAGTTAATTTTTTTTTTTTTTTTGAGATGGAGTCTTGTGCTGTCACCCAGGCTGGAGTGCAGTGGCACGATCTTGGCTCACTGCAACCTCCGCGCCCTGGATTCAAGCCATTCTCCTGCCTCAGCCTCCTGAGTAGCGGGGATTACAGATGCGCGCCATCACACTCCGCTAATTTTTGTATTTTTAGTAGAGACTGGGTTTCGCCATGTTGGCCAGGCTGGTCTCGAACTCCTGATTTCGGGTGATCCGCCCTCCTCGGCCTTCTAAAGTACTAGGATTACAAGCCTAAGCCACCGCACCCGGCCTAATTTGTTTGGTTTTCCAGTAAGCACTGTGGTGTATGTGCTGTTAATTGTCTCTGGTGGACTCCACAAGCTTAATGTACACAGTGCTGGGCTGGTGCCATGGCTGCTTCTCTGAAAAGTTTTTGACATCACACCGAATGGCTGAGACACTACGAACATTTTACTTTTCATCTCAACCTTGTGTCCAGCAAAGGTGCTTGTCTAGTTTCTGTAGCTGTTTGAATGAAAGGCGCAAATTTGGTGTGCTGCTGAGAATGGAGCAGACCTGGCACTGGGTGTGATCTAAGAGACGGGGGTGAAGAGATGAGTCAAGTTGCCTGTGACATTTGTGACACATGGTGCTCAGATTCACCTTGCTGTCTGGAGGGCCCACCCTCAAAGCCACTAAACATGACGACATTAGCCAAGTCCTCTGATCTCTCTAGACAGCAGTTTTCTCCTAAGACAAGATGGCTTTTTGGCCATTGGCTGAAGTAAGCCAGGTGATTTTAAACAATGCATTAAGCTCTTCTGAAATCTAACAGCCTTGTTCCAAGCTGCTCGCTATGGAGAAGAGCGCGCTGAGGGAAAGAGGCCTGTAGTGTTTTGCCAGTGGTGTCGGATGGGCTACTCAGTCCCAGCACTTGAAAGTTGCAAACCTAGTCAAGAAAGTGCACACAGTACTTCACCTTTTTATGAGATATAATTACATTGACATGACGCCTTCTGATTTACCCGTGACTCGGGGGGTTTCCAAAATCCAAACACTTCCAGACTGGGGCCCGTCAATCAGCTTCCTCTTGCTTTTCGTGGACTCCCAAACTGTGGAAACCTGCTGGTGTTTTGCTGCGGTTTCATTTCCCTCTGCGGAGGAGCCAGGGCAACCTCGGCCAGACAGGCACCCAGCTGCGCCCTTCTTTCCAGGGCCTCTTCACTCAGCTGACTCTCCTGGCCTGCCTAATGCTCCTGGCTGAGACGGTGTCCTGGCTTCCTCTAACAGGTTGGCGAGAAGTTGATCTGCAAACGCGAGGCAGAGCAGGAGTGTCCTTATTCGGTAGGCCTCTGATGGGCCACCAGGTCCGTCCGAAAGTCCTAGCCGAGTGATTGACAGTGGCCATTTCAAAGCCTGATTTCACCTTTGCAACCACAATCACGACCCAGAATAAACTACTTCCAGGAAGCCAGTTAGTTGCACCTTGCCTGAAGTCAGTCTCCGGACTGCCTCTCAGGACCCCCGCCAGGGTTTCGGGTTCCCGCCTGGGTCACGTGTACGGAGGCTGCCAGTGCGCACTCAGCCCGGCCCGCCGGTCGCCAGAGCAACACCAATCCCGGGTTCACTCCCGCCTCGGAAGTGCGGTCCCCGCCCGACAGCCCCCGGCTTAAGGGAGCCTGGCTAGGCCGGCAGCCAGAGGGTCCCGCAGCTTGGGGCCGGCCATGCTTCGCGGCTCGTGGCGCCAGCTGTGGCTCTTTCTCCTGTTGCTGCTGCTGCTGCTGCTGCTCCCGGGCGCGCCTGAGCCCCGCGGCACCTCCAGGCCGTGGGAGGGAACCGACGAGCCGGGCTCGGCCTGGGCCTGGCCGGGCTTCCAGCGCCTGCAGGAGCAGCTCAGGGCGGCCGGCGCCCTCTCCAAGCGGTACTGGACGCTCTTCAGCTGCCAGGTGTGGCCGGACGACTGTGACGAGGACGAGGAGGCAGCCGCGAGGCCCCTGGGTAAGACCCCGTCCCCGCGGCCCGCCGTTCGCTGCGGAGCAGAGTGCGATCCGGGCGCGGCTGTGGTCGCCTCGCTCCTGCCCCGGGCGACGTCAGGGCCCGCAGTTCTGCTCCGCTCAGCCGCCGGTACCGGCTGTAGGCGGGGGCAGCCTCCGCGGAGCATGGAGCCCCATCACCGCTGCGGCCCCACTCGCATCCCCGGTGCCGCCCCCTGCGGCCTGGCTGCCCGTCCCCTGCCGCCCCTCATCCCCGCGCTTTCCAGACTCGCTTGCACCGCCTGTGCCGTCTCCCAGCCCACCCTGGCGTTATTCGAAGGTGCTGCTCTTGACAGCTCTAGGGAACGTCCGCTGTGGACATGCCTGGTGACTGCCGTCTCCCTTGCTGCTTTTGGACGCAGGGCTTGAGGACCGACAGTGGGCTGAGCTGGGGCTGGCAGTTGGAATCTGAGTTCTGGGTGTCGCTCTGTCCCTGACAAATTGTGTGGCAACGTTGCCGCATCACTGTCGAGCTCCGGATGGTCTCCTCTCGGTCTCACAGCTCTTCCTTTTCCAGGCTGGCGCCTTTCCCTGTTGGGCCAGCGGTACTTGGATCTCCTGACCACGTGGTACTGCAGCTTCCAAGACTGCTGCCCCGGTGGGGATTGCAGAATCTCCAACAACTTTACAGGTTGGACCTCGCATGGCTTCAAGGGACTAGGGATCTGTGGGGAGGGGACGCAGTCCAGGGGAAATGGTTAGATGCAAGGGACCTTTCGTCATCCTGTCCAACCTCCCCACAAGCAGGAACTTCTGCCACAGTCTGAGGTTTTGAAGGAGTACCAAATGCTTGAGAGTCAGGGAAGCCCCTTTTTAGCCTCTAGCTTAATAGCCCAGGCAAACTGAGCTGTTTCGTGCATCTTGAGGATCCATGGGAATGCCATGAACACATCACACTCAGCTAAGCTGGGAGGAGGGAACGGGCCCTCATTACCACCGTGTGTCCCCTGTCTAAACAGGTTTTCCTCTGCTCATTTGTCAGCTACCCCCACCATGTCCTCCCGCATCCCTGAGAGCGTTTCCAAGGAGAAGAGAATACCTAATATCTGTTATACATACCAGGCACTGTGCTAAGAGTTTCAAAGGGATTAACTCATAATCCAACATCTCCTTTGATCTCTAGGAGAGTCAGGCCCAGAGCACCTTGTTTCACTCTAAACAGAAACAGGGACCTCTCAGAGGGGCTGGAACTATCCAGTGAGAGAACTGATCAGAAATTCTGGGTTATGATTACAAGTGTCCCTTTCTTTTTTTTTTTTTTTTTTTTTTTGAGACAGAGTCTTGCTTTGCATCCACACTGGAGTGTAGTGGTGCGATCTCAGCTTACTGCACCCTCTGCCTCCCGGGTTCAAGCAATTTTCCTGCCTCAGCCTCCCGAGTAGCTGGGATTACAGGTGCCCACCACCACGTCCGGCTAATTTCTGTAGTTTTAGTAGAGACGTGGTTTCACCATGTTGGCCAGGCTGGTCTTGAACTCCTGACCTTGTGATCTGCCCACCTCGGCCTCCCAAAGTGCTGGGATTACAGGTGTGAGCCACTGCACCCGGCAACCAGTATTTTCTAATTAGTTTGGGTGACTTGATTTGCATATTGCAGTTGATTTGCATTTTCACTCTCACAAGGTCATCTTTGGCCCCATGTTCTGAAACCTATTCAGACATTTGCAAAAGCTTCCTCTCTTTTCCCCAGGAGCAATTTCTTACCCAGAGTTCTGATCCCAGCTCCTTCAGTCTCCATAAATGAGGCCCACCTTAGATATTTAGGTCACTTAATTGGCCAAAATGCCAATAACACAGTGTTTTTAGGGACACAGTCTGGCTCAGGACAGAAGATAGGAGTACATACAGGTCAGGAAGTCTGAATTTGGATCACTGCTGACTTGGATAAGACCCTAGGTGGCAATTAGCGAGTTACTTTCTGCCCTCAACTACGTTCTGCCCTCAACATGCCTGTTCGACAAAGGCCTGGATATCCAAATTGTTGCGGCCGGGGAATCAGAGACTCCTCCACTGGATTCCTAGTCTTGCCTCTTCCTTCCTGGCAGAGTCCTTCCCAAGTGTCCATTTCCTCAGCTGTATTTTATTTTATTTATTTATTTATTTTGAGACCAAGTCAGTCTCTGTCACCCAGGCTGGAGTGCGGTGGCGTGATCTCGGCTCACTGCAACCTCCGCCTCCCAGGTTCAAGCGATTCTCTTCCCTCAGCCTCCCAAGTAGCTGGGATTATAGGCGCACGCCACCATGCTTGGCTCATTTTTGTATTTTTAGTAGAGATGGGGTTTTGCCACATTGACCAGGCTGATCTTGAACTCCTGACCTCAGGTGATCCACCCACCTCGGCCTCCCAAAGTGCTGGGATTACAGGCGTGAGCCACCTCGCCCAGCCAGTTTCTTCAGCTTTAAATGGGAATAATAATGCCTGCCTTGCAGAATTGTGAAGACTAAATGTAAAACACTTAGCCCAGTTCTGAATACAGAGAAAACAGCAAATGTTAATTTTCTTCTATGTCACTACTACTTTTGGAGCAATGTGTGATACCCTCAACGTTTTATCATAGACCTTGACCTCCCAAGGCTCCAGAATACACGCTCTGGGCTGGCTTGAGGTGTTCAACCAATTGATCCTGGATTTGGAGTGCTCACCCACAGCTGGCAGCACACCCTCCCTGCCTCCACTGTGGCTCCTGGTAGCCCCATCTCCAAATCCTACAACCTCAGGTCTGAGAGGAAGTTAGGCCTAGCAGAGGGCTTTGCACACTGGAGCTGCTCTCAACAAGTGTCGGCTGAATTGAATGAGAATGAATAAAATCAAGCTTCTGCATGAAACAGGGAGCCCTGAAACCAAGGGATGGGAGCAGCCTCAGGACATGGGGGACAGGATTCCTCCCTAGACAGGTCTGTGCCAACTGCTCTGGGTATGTGCAGGATCTTCAGGAAGGGTGATTCCTCTGTCTCCCTAAGTCCCATCTTTATTTCCCAAACTCTTCAAAAAGTAGTCCTTGAGGCCAGGCATGGTGGTTCACACCTGTAATCCCAGCACTTCGGGAGGACGAGGCGGGCGGATCACGAGGTCAGGAGTTCCAGACCAGCCTAGCCAACACGGTGAACCCCATCTCTACTAAAAATACAAAAGTTAGCCGGGCATGGTGGCGGGCACCTGTAATCCCAGCCATTCAGGAGACTGAGGCAGGAGAATCGCTTGAACCAGGGAGGCGGAGCCGAGATTGCACCACTGCACTCTAGCCTGGGTGACAGAGCAATACTTCCTCTCAAAAAAGAAAAAGGAAAGAAAGTAGTCCTTGCATCCCTTCTGCTACAAAGTCTGCCTTCTGTCTGCTTATTATGCCAAACAGGAGGAGTAACTGATCCCAACCAAGAGAGATTCAGAGTTGCTTGGTTTCCGGGCTGCTGGCTGCTGTGGTGGATGCGCCTCTGTGTGCCTTTTGCTGTGACTGCCTCTTTCTCGTCCTTAGGCTTAGAGTGGGACCTGAACGTGCGGCTGCATGGCCAGCATTTGGTCCGGCAGCTGGTCCTAAGAACAGTGAGGGGCTACTTAGAGACGCCCCAGCCAGACAAGGCCCTTGCTCTGTCGTTCCACGGCTGGTCTGGCACAGGCAAGAACTTCGTGGCACGGATGCTGGTGGAGAACCTGTATCGGGATGGGCTGATGAGTGACTGTGTCAGGATGTTCATCGCCACGTTCCACTTTCCTCACCGCAAATATGTGGACCTGTACAAGGTGAGGCCGACCAGGGCTGGGGTGAGGCCTCTGTGCTGGGAGGAAGACCCTTCTGCCAGCCCTTCCTTGCAAGGAAGTGGGCTCTGGAGAAGCCTGGGGAGGTGGGGACAGGTGGCAGAACCTGTGACAGAGCCACTCACTCGGTCCACTCCTCACGGAGGCCCTGAGCATCTGGTGGGGACTGGTGTTCCAAACGCCCCCCACTGCTCTGTCCCCCGAATAGTCACACTCGAGAGGCTGGACGCTGCACTTAAGCAGGGACGCTGCATGTTGATTTTTGTTGTAGAAGTATTGAAATGTCACAGGCAGTGTAGAACAGAGAAAAGCAAAAACTATCGGACTGTCCACATGGGCACACCCTTGTCAACTAAGGAGAGTTAGCATTTTATGTGCTGCCTTTGGTGCGGAACGTTTCCCCAGGCTGTCATTGTAACTACATTGGACAGAGAGTGGCATATCCTGCCTTTTTAAAAAACAGGCCTATTGGCCGGGCGCAGTGGCTCACGCCTGTAATCCCAACACTTTGGGAGGCTGAGGTGGGCAGATCACAAGGTCAGAAGATCGAGACCATCCTGGCTAAGACGGTGAAACCCCGTCTCTACTAAAAATACAAAAAATTAGCCGGGCGTGGTGGCGGGCGCCTGTAGTCCCAGCTGCTGGGGAGGCTGAGGCAGGAGAATGGCGTGAACCCAGGGGGTGGAGCTTGCAGTGAGCCGAGATCGCACCACTGCACGACAGAGTGAGACTCCGTCTCAAAAAAAAAAAAACAGGCCTATCCTATCTTATATGATTTTCCACGTCTTCCCGTATCGGCTTATTATATAACAGCAAGTGGATGGACAGAAATTTCCTTGGCTGTTCTGCCGTTTGGGTTTCTTCTACTAATTCAGCCATGTAGTATTGAAAACATACCAGAAGAGCCGGACAGAAATGACTGCACCTGTCTTTGGCTTTCTGTTCTGATATCTGGAATGTGTTCACCTGGGAAGATTATGTCAGTGTCTGAGGACAGGGACTGCCCACGTCTCCTGGCAGTTTCCATATGGCTTTGGAGGGCAGGGGCAGGCTGAGCTGGCCTCTCCAGGAAGAACTATTTGGCTTAGACTGTGGCAAAACTGCTGCAGCCCCAGCTTCCCCGCTCTGAAAACTGGCATGTGCACAGCCCTACACCTCACACTTTCCCCCACACAGGTGCACCCAGTAGACAGGAGTGTGGGCTCTGGGGTGGGAGCTGGGCCTGAATAATATATTCCCTGCCCATTTTGATGAACATTGCAAAGAACCATCTTTTCACTTGAGGGTTTACTATCTTGCCTGGGACAAAGAACCCTCCGCAGCCCCTTGCAGGAGCGAAGTCGGATGTTGGTTGGGCCCAGTGAGTCCTTCAGCAGACTTCCCCCCTGAGATCTCGGCCCAGCCAGGGTGCCCGTGGGCGCTGTGCACCCGGGAGTTCAGGGCAGGGGACTGTGACTGCCTCTAGGCACATGAGCCTCTTCTTGCCCATCACCCCTGTGTTAAAGCCCAACTCCTACCCACCCCCTGGGAATAGACCCCGAGCTTAAACAGGGAAGTTGCGCCTGGATTTTTTTGTTGTAGAAGTAATGAAATTTTGCAGGCAGTGTGGACATTATTAGCTCGGGGATGGGACCTAGTCCTGGAGAGGAGAAAGCAGGGCTGGAGCAGGGGCCCCTTCTCAAGGGCAGAAGGGCTTCTCCCCACTCCTTTCTAGGCTCTTTCCTAGTCCCCAGGCTGGCTTCACCTTGTTTAGCTTTCAACCCTCAGGGTGCTTGAGAATCACCTGAGAGCTGGTCAGATGCAAATGTCGTAGGCCTTCCCCCAGAGCTTGGATTTGATAGGTTCGAGGGGGTGAAACCCAGCCCCAAGGAGTCCATTGCACATGCCCAGGGGAAACCACGCCCTCAAGGCCAGAGGCGGAAGGAGTCGCCAGTTCCCCAGCTGCTCCCTATATCCCATGCAGGAGCAGCTGATGGGCCAGATCCGGGAGACGCAGCAGCTCTGCCACCAGACCCTGTTCATCTTCGATGAGGCTGAGAAGCTACACCCAGGGCTGCTGGAGGTCCTTGAGCCACACTTAGAACGCCGGGCCCCTGAGGGCCACAGGGCCGAGTTTACATGGACTATCTTTCTGTTTCTCAGGTGGGTTCTGGGGAACAGTAGTCAGGAGGGCTGGGGGAGGGGAAGATACTAGCTGGCAGTGGAGGCTTCCACACGCCCCCAGGTTCAGAACCTTTTCCTCAAGAAAAAACAGCACAAACTCTGGTACAGAAAGCAGCAGCCAGCTGTGATGGCTCACACCTGTAATCCCAGCACTTTGGGAGGCCAAGGTGGCCGGGTCCCTTGAGTCCAGGAGTTCAAGACCAGCCTGGGCAACACAGCGAAACCCTCTCTCTACAAAAAGTACAAAAATTAGCTGGGCGTGGTGACGTGTGGTCCCAGATATTCGGGAGGCTGAGGTGGGAGAATCGCTTGAACCCAGGAGGTGGGGGTTGCAGTGAGCTGAGATCGGGCCACTGCACTCCAATCTGGGTGACAGATTTTTTGAAACAAATTCCCAAGGCAAGCCTGGTTAGAGAACGGCATAGTCTCCCATCAAGTCCAACATGGCCATTTCTTCCTCCAGCCTTGGAAGGTCTATTTCTGCTCCAATCATGAGAAGTCATCACTGGCTTAAAATCCAGGGCATACGGGTTGAGAGAAACCCATGCTTCCTCTGAGTACCTGTAGTTCAGTTGTGACACTGCCACGCAGGACCCAGTCACTGAATCACGGCACTGTGGGTCCTGTACTTTTGTTGACATGTCTTTGCGGGAAGACAACTTAGAAATAACTTGTCCAACCTCATCTTTTTGCAGAGGCTCCAACTGGGGGAGTCCTGCGTCTGTTACAAGTTGAGTTTGGGTCCTTGTTGACCCAATTCGAAGGCTTCACAATAGCTCGAGCCTCGGTAGGAGTCAAACCAAGTGCTTTCTTCCCAACTCCACTCCGGCCTCGCCTTCCCCAGGCCAGCACTTGCTTGCTGGGGGGTTTTCCCAAGCTGCAGGGTGCACTTTGTGAGGATGGGGAAGTTGGTGGGGAGATGCTGATTTTCATCCTAGCTTGGGGAGTGTGGAGGGGTGAAGGGGTGAGCTGTGGAGGGCACATCTTGTTTCAGTGTGGATTCACAAGAAGAACTGAAACGGGCCAGGTGCGGTGGCTCACGCCTATAATCCCAGCACTTTGGGAGGCTGAGGCGGGTGGATCACCTGAGGTCAGGAGTTCGAGACCAGCCTGTTTCCACTAAAAATACAAAAATTAGCTGGGTGTAGTGGCAGGCGCCTGGAATCCCAGCTACTAGGGAGGCTAAGGCAGGAGAATCACCTGAACCTGGGAGGCAGAGGTTGCAGTGAGCTGAGACCATGCCATTGCACTCTAACCTGGGCAACGAGAGAAACTCTGTCTCAAAAAAGTGAAACAGGTTTAAACCATTGCTGACTTGGGATTTCTGTGTGGTGGCAGGCAGCCCTCCTGGTCTGTAGGTGAAGCTGTGGAGACTTAGAATGCATTGCGAAGTGGGAGGGGAGCGGGGCGCCCAGGGTGGCTTTTAAGAGAGAGCTCTCTTGCATGATTTGAGTGCCCAGAACCAGGAGGTGAGGACAGTACATTCTTCTAATTAGTTTTTATCCCCACGTTCTGTACTGTTTATTTCCCACCTTCGGAGGCAGCTGGGCTCACCTCTCCTCCTGTTATAGGGAGTCAGGTGGAGGCTGCAACATGCATATGAGCCCAAACAGAGGAGTCACCTGGGTGCTCTGTGGTTTCTCCCCTTGAGCCCTGGGTTGGGGAGTCAGGGGACCCTCTGAACCACCGATGTGGAAGCCAGTCCTTCCCACGGCACGGAGCGAAGCGTGGTGACCCAGCCTCGGGCCTCCCTTTCGCTTCCACAGGGATCTCTCTTGCACTGAGTGTCTTCCTCCTCCCTTTCCCCGTCAGGGGTCTCCTGGCTTCAGGTGGTGCCAGCCACACAGACTCTCCCACCCACTTCTCAGCTTGGAAAACCTCACCTGGGCCATGATTGCCTAATGCGACCCGGTGACCTTGCAGTCTCTAGGCAAATGTTAGCCTTTGTAGTATTTTGGCCGTCGACCCGACGGCAGCACCCTCCAGCCCCTCACCAGCCGCCTGGCCTTTCTCCCCGTGACCCAGCCTCGGTGGACTGTCCGAGGCCACGTGATTGTGGGCGGCATGGGGCGGGGCCTGCGGGAAAGCCGTCTGCCAGACTCCTCCATGCCACAGCAGGGTGGGGAGGTCTCCCAGGAGCCTTTGAGCTCCAGGGAGGAGGATGTGTAACTGACAAGGATGTAAAGGACAGATTAAAAAGATGTGGCCTTGGGTTCTAGTGGCTCTGGTGTGGGCCTGTGCCCAGCCTTTACGAGCCAGAGGTCCCCCTCCAGCCGAGGGCTGGGCTGACATAGTCTGTCCCCAGGCTGTCCAGGGTGGCAGCCTCTCAACCTCTGAGGTTCTCAGGTAGTCCGGCGATGGCTGGGAGGAGACACTGTGTTGATATTGGAGTTTCTGGACTTGATCTCTATAATGAGCTTCAATTAATCATCCCTTGTAATAAGGATTCTAGGGCATGAGAGAAAAGCACAGCTGATTCAAACTGCTAGAGTGACCAAGTCACACTGTAGGAAGAGCTGCAGCAGTTTAATTCTGAAATAAATCCTAAACCTGCCATTTGAAGTGAGTCGCCAGTGGTTTTGCTGGCCTCCCCCTGGTGGCAGGAGAGAGGAGGTGGGAGCTGAAGCAGGGAGTTGAGTGTGGTGCTCAGAGCCTGTCCTTCATCCGGGCCAGGGAATCGGGGCCGGTGGCTGGGCATCAGAAAAGTAACATTACTTCGCCCACTTCTGCCAAATATAGAAGGCTGCAAGAATGGGCTCACACGGCAGGACAGGAACGTGGAACTCTGCGATCGGAGCTGCTGCCCTGTTCTCATGGGAGCTGCAAAGTGACTAGGGTAGTTAAAGCCTGTTTCCTTTGTGCTGTTGTCAGGAAAAGGAAAGGACTTTGAAAAATTATAGAACTACACAAATAGAAATTATTCGTGGAGTCGTGGGCCTTGCGCCCCAGCCCCGTGTCTGTTGGCTGCCTGTTGACTAACGAGAGGACAGCTTAGATTGGTCCAGTCCTTACTTTATAAATGAGGACACTAAGGCTCAAAGAGATGATCGAGTCTATGTCTGTTCTTTAGGAAAGACAGAGCAGTTAGCATGGGGTTTGTTATCAGTAACCACCAGTTCTCTCTGGTGAGGCCTTAAGTCCCCTTCCTTTGGGGTCTTAGGGATAAGGCTGGTGAGATCAGCCCTGGCAGGGGCTGGAGGCAGGGGAGAGGGCTGGTTGAGAGAGGTGCCTTCTGGCTCCTCCAGACTTCCCAGTGACGCAGGTGGCTGTGGAAGGGAATGGAGGTGCTCCGGGAAGACAGTCTGTCTGAAGGTAGAATGCTGGTGCTGGAGTGGCGATCCTGAAGACGGGAGGGGTGGCGCATAGAGAGGGGCCCCAGGTTATGGGTCGGTGGGTGAGATTAAAGCCTGTAAAGTGGTGGAAGAAAAGGGACTTTGGCTGTGAGACAAAACAGGAGAGCTTGAGAAGGGTGGAGATGGTGCAGACACATGTGCAGAGATGTCCCTTTATTTACTAAAGGCCGTGTGCCTGATATGTGCAAAGCACTGGGGTTACAGAAATAAATAGGCCCAGCTTCCTGCCCCATGTGATGGGACCTCTCTTTACCCGCATCAGCACCTTACAGGATGGAGAAGGCCCTGGAGTCCGTGCCCCTGGGCTGGGGTGAGGGAGTATCACTGTGGGGTTTCACAGCATCCCAGATCCTGCCTTCAGCCTCTGCCAAGGTAAACAGTGCTACCTGCCTCCTGTGGGGAATGCAGGATGGGCCAACACCCTGGCAGCAGACTCTTACCTCAGCTTACGCAATGGTGGCTGCTCCTGTGTGCACAGGTATGTGCCTGGAAGGCCTTCCTGCAGCAGCGGCAGTGTCGGCAAGTGGAAGAGGGTTGTGAGCTGCTTCTCGGGGGAGGCCTGGCTGAGCAACTGACCTTGAGCAAGCACTGCAGATGGCCCTTGTTCCTGCCGGGCTTCTCCAGCTGGGAGCTCTCAACCCCTGGTAAATTCTGGTTGTGAAAAACACATTGGCACCTCCCCCCTATGATGAGGCACCCAGTTGGACAACTTGGCAGTCCAGGCTTACCTGCATGGCAGGGAAGGATGCCTGCCCAGCTTTAGCGTCTACCCAATGGCGGAGGCAGGGAGGGAGAGAACCACACAGCTCCCCTCACTTCCCAGGAGCCCCCATGGAACAACAGGGTGTGGTCACAGGCTAAATGAGCAAAGATGTGAGTTAATATACTGGTGGGTGTCATGGGGGCTTTCAGAGCCGGGTAAGGAGGGAAAGAGATGGAGATACTGGTTCCCCACTCCTTAACCTGCCACCTGCCTTCCCTGTCCTTTACCCTACCTCATTCTACTGGACCTGAGGAAAACGCAAGGGGGGCTGAGGTAGGAGGATCACTTGAGCCTAGGAGTTCGAGACCAGCCTGAGGAACATAGTGAGACCTTGTCTCTACAAAAAAAAATTTTTTTAAATAGCGCCAGGCACACCTGTCATCCCAGCACTTTGGGAGGCTGAGGCGAGCAGATCAGCTGAGGGCAGGAGTTCAAGACCAGCCTGGCCAATATGGTGAAACCCTGTCTCTACTAAAAATACAAAAATTAGCTGGGCATTGTGGCACGTGCCTGTAATCCCAGCTACTTGGGAGGCTGAGGCAGGAGAATCTCTTGAATCCAGGAGGCAGAGGCTGCTGTGAGCTGAGATCATGCCACTGCACTCCAGCCTGGGCAACAAGAGTGAAACTCCGTCTCAAGAAAAAAAAAAAAAAAAAAAATCTGGGTAGAGTGGCATGTACCTGCAGTCTCAGCTACTTAGGAGGTTGAGGTGAGAGGATTAGCTGAGCCTGGGGAGGTTGAGGCTGCAGTGAACCAAAATCACACCACTGTACTCCAATCTGGGTGACACAATGAGACTCCGTCTCCAAAGAGAGAGAAAGCACAGGGAAGTGCGAGTGCACTGATGTGGAGCTGGGCAAGGCCTCGGTTTCAGGAGCTGGTGGAGCTGGCAGAGGCTGCAGCCCAGGGAGGGAGGACAGCTCAGTGAGGTGGGGGAGAAGTACGCCTGGGCTGGGGAGGACGGAGGAGGTCCACGTCTCCACCACCTCTGTCCCAGCTTCTCTGCTGGTGGCTCTACGGTTGCTCCTCTCTCTCTATCCCCTTTCTCCCTCCTGTCTCTAACCCAAATTGCTTTCTGTGCTTCACACCCGTAATTCTAGTTGCCCAGTGATAGCACAACCTGAGAGAGATCACAGGCAAGCAAAAAACACTCAAATGTGTGTAAAACCAGGCTTTCATCTCTACCCTTCCATGTTCCACCTCTGTTAAGGGGGACAGCAAGCAGCTTGAGGCTAACACTTGTTGTTTCATGACCTCCTTTCACTTCTCACATCTATCAGTTACAGGGTTTTTCAATTGTGCCTCCATAACTAATTCTTAAATCCTCCTTTCCATCCCTTCTCCATGGTCCATAAGCTCAAGTCCATGTACATGGCAGACAAAGGCCGCCTCACCCTAGCCTTGGCCAACCTTTCATGCCTATGCTCCTCTGGCGCACCCAGGCCTGGACACATCCCTTCCTTGTCAAGTGTCTGATGGTCACTAATTGTTCTTTATTTGCTCAGAAGCCTCGTCCTCCCTCTGAAGCCTTCTCCTTAGAACTCACTCACTCCTCCATTAGCGCTTGCCACACTGTCCTGGAACCGAATACACGGATGCCCCTCAGACCACACAGAAGTAAAGAACCACATCTTACCATCTTCATGCTCCCTGCACTTAGCACAGTCTCAGTAAGTGTGCGTCAAAAGGGAACAAGAGAGAATGGGTGGCAAAGCTGGACAGTGTCTTCTGTGCAGACCTTTAGGTTGTGAGGTTGTGACAAGGTCTCCTGGAAGAGAGAGGTCCACGCCCCTCAGCCTCTATTCTTCCAGGCACCAATGCATTGGTTTCAGCGGTGAGATAACACATATGGAAGCTAAATATAAAGAAATGGGTTAACAAGCTCTTGTCTCTTTCAGTAATCTCAGGGGCGATATAATCAATGAGGTGGTCCTAAAGTTGCTCAAGGCTGGATGGTCCCGGGAAGAAATTACGATGGAACACCTGGAGCCCCACCTCCAGGCAGAGATTGTGGAGACCACAGGTAAGTAAGTGACTCAGTATGCCTCTGGTGAGAGCCACAGCTGGTGATAATTAGTTTGTTGGAATGTGTGTTTATGAGGTAGATAGGGTACTTGGGAACACAGAGGGCAGCCCATAATCATCTCACATTGTCAACCTTGGGTAGGCACAAGAAACGTGCCTGAGCTCCTTTTCTGGAAATACTTGGAAGAGGAGTTTGCACGGGCCCCAACAACAGGCGCAGTGGTCTCTGAAGCCTGAGACTCTGAGTCTCACTTCAAGACTTTACCTAAAGGAGACACAGCTGTAGAGTTCTTGACACACACTGCAGACAGCACTCCTAGAGTTGAGAGAAGAGAGCCCACCTCACCCCACCCTTCAGTTTGGGGGCACCTTAAAACTCCAGTTGGGGCCACGTGCGGTGGCTCACACCTGTAGTCCCAGCACTTTGGAAGGCTGAGGCGGGCGGCTAACTTGAGTCCAGGAGATCTAGACCAGCATGGCCAACATGGTGAAACCCTCTCTCCAAAAAATACAGAAAACAGCCAGGTGTGGTGTGCGCCTGTGGTCCCAATCCCTTGAACCCAGGAGGTGGAGGCTGCAAGGAGCCCAGATCGCACCACTGTACTCCAGCCTGGTTAAGCAAGCCCCTGTTTAAAAGAAACAAACAGCAACCCCCCACCCCCCTCTAAATTCCAGCTAAGTTCAGTCCTAGGTCAGACTCCATGTAACTTATGGTCTTGATTTCAGACAATGGCTTTGGCCACAGCCGTCTTGTGAAGGAAAACCTGATTGACTCCTTCATCCCCTTCCTGCCACTGGAGTACCGTCACGTGAGGCTGTGTGCACGGGATGCCTTCCTGAGCCAGGAGCTCCTGTATACAGAAGAGACACTGGATGAAATTGCCCAGATGATGGCGTATGTCCCCAAGGAGGAACAACTCTTTTCTTCCCAGGGCTGCAAGTCTATTTCCCAGAGGATTAACTACTTCCTGTCATGAAGGCTAGAGGAAGACTTCCTGGAGCTCCCTTTCTTCCACTAACGGGACCCTGGGACCTGTAGGAGCACCCTGTTTGGGACTGTGAGCTGTTTGAGGGGCTGTGGACTGGCATCCAGCAGTCACTAACACACAACTGGTGTGTAAAAGGCAGGCCTTACATTAGAAGCTGAGCCAATCCTTTTTCTTTTTTTTCCTTTTCTTTTTTTTTTTTTTTTTGGGGGGTTCCACCGAGATAGGAACTTGGATTGCTGGATTCAAAAACAGACCCCATTCTTAAGATCACTTGGTGCCTTAAAGACACGCATTCCAAAGTGGAATGTGGTTGAAGAAAGTGGGCCAGGTGGTTGAAGACAGGCGTGTGGGAGCTCAGCAAATCCCAAAGGCTTATTATGACACTCCAGATGGTCTCCTTAGCATCTCAGCTCTTCTGCAAGGAAGAGCTTGGGTGTTGGGCCTCAAAGGCTGTAGAGTCCTTGGGTTAGAGAGCTGGGGAGAACGAAGTTCTGTGACCCAGGAGTGGCGAGTACACTCTAGGTTTACGGGCTGGTGGGCTTTCAAATTGGGACTCCCAGAGGAAAGCCGGGCTGCTTCTGTTGTGAGCAATCAGCCAAGAGCCTGAGGCTGAAGGGAAAAGTACACAGAGGAAGGTGTTTTACAAATCAGGTCAGTGTAGGCCAAGACTTATGGTCTACAGATTTTGGTGGGGGAGGGGGGAATCTTTTCAAAGACAATTGGGGGTCTTGACGTGTTAATGTAAAGATTAAAATTTTTGATTTTTCTAAAATCCTTGGCCTACTTTCTTACTGTTTCTGAGATCTAGCAAAATTTCAAACCTGATAATCCTGGTAAGGCCTGGCAGAGACAGGGTGGATGCTGGCACACATGGAGCTAGCAGGGTATGTGGCTGGTCTGCCCATCTAGTCAGTTTGCTTTGGGACCGCATCGGTGGAACCAAGTCATGCCAACCTCCTACTGAAGAGGCTTCCACAGCACATTGCTCTTACATGTGAAAATGTTCACTCCTGTACTCTCAGCTGTAAAAAGAAAAGCAGTCATTTTTGAGGATTAAATGGCACCGTGTAGACATGTAGCATTGTGCCTAAACAGTGTTCATTATGTGCCTTTCCCCTTCCTTCTTCCCTGTTTTTTACATATTACACACACACACACACACACACACACAGTCAGGGGCTCACTATGTTGCCCAGGCTGGTCTGGAACTCCTGAGCTATCTTCCTGCCTCAGCCTCCCAAAGTATTGGGCTTACAGGCATGAGCCACTGTGCCTAGCCTTTTCTTTCTTTTATCATCTCGTGTCCTTTCTTAATTTAAGCCTTCCTCACAGATTACCTGACATCAGGAGTTCAAGACCAGCCTGGCAAAGCTGGTGAAACCCCGTCTCTATTAAAAAAAATTAACCAGGTGTGGTGGCATGAGCCTATAGTCGCAGCTACTCGGGAGGCTGAGGCAGGAGAATCACTTGAGCCCAGGAGGTGGTGGGTGCAATGGTCTGAGATCGTACCATTGCACTCCAGCCTGGGTGACAAGTGAAACTACATCTCAAAAAACAAAAAGCCTTCCTCAACCCTCTCTCCTTTAGTTCTTATCAAATGAAACACTTCTGTCTCTTCCACATTGAACAGTTTATTGTGCTCATTTACTCAACTGCCTCAAGGTTAGAAAGTACCTACCCTGAGCCACATTAGGTACTCAAATATTCAAATCAATGAAATAAAAGGGTTTTAGTTTCATACCACTCAAGGGATAAAAGTGGACTCAGCCTAACTATACAATCGGATGGAGCCAGTGTTAGCTACTTACAGGTTTTCCGTCTCGAGCATCCCAGAAGATGCAAGCCACCCGATGCTACTGCACACCAGGCTCTAAACGCACTGAACACACTTGTTAAAGGGTAAGTCTCAGAGACAGAACAGGTGGCATCCGTTGCAGCACTGGCCAGCTGTGTTTGGCGTCATAAACAGAGGATCTGAACCTCTCACCTGGGGAACCAGGACAAGCAGCAGAATATAGTGGTTCCAAACACATTCTCTGGAGCCAGACTGCCAGGGCTGGAGCCATGGTTTCACCACTTACCACTGTGAGGCCACGGGAAAGCAGTTTAGCCTCCGTGTCCACTCCAGCATAACCGTACCTACCTCATAGGGTCGCTGGATGACATGAGTTCATTTTTATAAAGTGCCTATGAAACCGCTTTTGCAAAAATCATAAACTGAGAAAACTATGAGTGACATATCAGACCTAACTGACCCCATCTTGTTGCTAATCTCTAAACTGTCCTTGTTCATTCCTGGGCATAGGCCAAACTAGCTTTGGGAAGGATTTTTGTGTATAGTTTGTTTAAATAGCCCTTCCCAAAAAGGCTAAACCGTTCTTGTAAAACAAATGAAAGGCCACTAAGCCAAGATGAGAGGAAATGGAATTCTTACCAGCCATTATTCTGGAGGTCATAAGATTTGCAACTTCCCCAATTACTCTTGAAGGTTAATGTCACTATTGTGAACCTAAGATTGGCCTTTTTGATGTCTTTCCAGGTTTTTCATTTCTAACAACCAGATGGCCCCACCTGGACCTGCCAACCAGTTCTGTGGCCCCCACCTAGGAACTGACTCAGCAGAAGAGAACAGCTTCGATTCTCCATGATTTTACTCACCAAATTATCCTTAAAAACTCTGACCCCCCCCCATTTTCTGAGAGACTGATTTGGGTAATAATAAAACTCCGGTCTCTGGCACAGCCAGCTCTGCGTGAATTATTCTTTCACCATCGCAATTCTTCTGTCTTGATAAACTGGCTCTGTCTAGGCAGTGGGCGAACTCATCCCAGCACTGTGGAAGGCCGAGGTGGGTGGATCACTTGAGGTCAGGAGTTCGAGATCAGCCTGGACAATATGGTGAAAGCCTGTCTCTACTAAAACTACAAAAATTAGCTGGGCATGGTAGCACGCACCTGTAGTCCCAGCTACTTGGGAGGCTGAGGCAGCAGAACTGCTTGAACCTGGGAGGCAGAGGTTGCAGTGAGCCGAGATCATGCCACTGCACTCCAGCCTGGGCAACGAAAGGAAACTCCATCTCAAAAAAAAAAAAAAAAAAATTGTAAGTTAAATCACATTGAGAGATTCTTGGAAGATTCTAAAAACAAGACTTTCTAGACAACCAAAAATGAGTGGGAGAAAAGGACTGAAGGTGGAATGTGAGGAGGTGTATAAACTGCTGCTTACCAGCCAGTTTAATTGGGCCTCATGTATGCACAACTTGTGTATATTCTACCCATACCTAGTTAAGGTTACTTCTAAAAGCAGTAACTCATTCATAAAAAACTGAAGACCACATCAACCAGAATGGAACGTTATCCTGTGGGGTTCTACACCCACTCTATAAATGCTACATTGACTCAAAACACTTAGAACTTACTTGGAGTTGTCCTCAGAATGGATTTTGAGAGAATTAAATTTCACTTGACAGTCGCTTCATGTTGAAGACACACATACAAACACATTACTCACCTTATGCACAGCAGCCTGGACTCCAGATGATGCCTTTTGTTCACTTCCAAAAATGTAATCCATCAACGGATGAGTATTCACCCCCACAGAGGACATTCTAAAGAATGTGCCAGAGGGCTGCTTGCTAAAAGCAGCTTCTTTACTTTATAGACATCCGTATTACGTAGAGAGAAAGAAACGCTGCTTAGATTCCCTGTCAACTGAAATCATGGGATAAACACTCCAATCTCCAGCCTACTTTGCCAATAAAATATTGCAACCTTTATTTAAAACAAAACACAACTTGGCAAACCTTGTGAGAAGACAGAGAGAGCAGTCCCTTTCAAGGGCCTCATTTATTTACATCAAGTTTAACACTGTTAGCAGTTCACAGTCAGACAACAGAGGGAGAGAATTAAATTAGAAAAACAACGGAAAATATATTACAACAACAATGAAGAACAAATACCTGACAACACTGGTAGCGTGGCCCACGACTGATGTGTTTTTAGTTAAAATCCCACGTTGTCTCACTATGTCCCCTTAGCAATGCACACAGTGCCCGATGCTCCAAACCCCACTCTCTGTGCACCACATACACACCTGCAGGGCGGGACCTTTGGTATAAATGTTCAACGAGTTTTAAAGAATCTGAATCCGCATGTTTTGGGACAAAGCTCTGTCAACCACCATGAAATGTTTAAACTTATTTTTACTAAGCAAGCATAAAACTGGGGTTTGTCCAGTGACAGTCATTAGAGAATCAGACTGCAGAGAAGGAAAAGTGCAGAGTCTGGGAGGAGATGGGGGTTCTGAGTATGCATCAACAGCTAAGTCAGCCTGTTCACAGTCAACACACCAACCACACCACCGCTGTTCACCCAAGGAAAGATCTGAGTGATTCCTCTTTTACTTACTCCCCCTTTCTTAATGGGCACGACGGCAGTGCATGTGCACTTACGGACACAAACGCATACCAGCTATACAGATCTGAGATAAAAGGGTTTTCAAACATATGCCCTAAAGAACCATACAATGAGTATCTCATTGTTCCTTTCTAGTTTCTGAATACTAATTGACAATCATCCTAATCATGGTGATTTCTCAAGATCTCAATAAATTCCTCTCAAAACATAATGGAGTCCAAGTGGCCACAGTGAAAAATTGCTGTCAAATGGAGGAGAGCTGGTTTCTCTGGCCTTCATCTACCAGAAGCATCTCTGTCTCCTGGCCTTCTTGCCACTCACAATACCTGGTATGGTACTTCTGAATCATGCAGAACAGTATCTGAGGTTTACTGTTGATGACCCTAAAGCGTTCCTAGTCCTGCAATACCTTCTAAAACAATAAATTTGCATATTTTTTGTTGTGCTATAATTGCTGAAAATTAAGTATACATACATGTGAACATTTAAGCCCCATTCTCCAGCTAAAGTTGATGGTGCCTAATTACATGATTTAAAACTCCCGCTCTGAGATTCAGAAGCAAATCTAAGCAAGTTCCGACTACACAAACTCCCTATATTTCCTTTCATAAAGCCTGCTAGCATTCCACAGTTTGCCTCCAGCGTGTCCTAAAAGGTTACTTAGCATGCTCGGAGACCCCAGCTTCTAAGGGTTCAGCTCAGTAGCCTGGAATGACAAGGAGGACCCTGAAAATCTGCTGATGCGAGTACAATGATGAACAAAGAATCTTCCAGAACAGACACAGATGACATGTATCACAATTCTGCTCCAGATATGGGGTGGTCTGAGGACAGTGCTGTGCCTGGCCTTTCCCCTTCAACATGCCAGCTGCTCCCTCTGAGTGAACAGGGCTTTGCTACTCTGCTCAGGGTAAAAGGTAAGATTTTTCTAGGAGAGGTAAACAATTTCAAAGTTAGAGATGTACATGGGGATGAAGAAGTAAGTGCACTTGGAGGGAAGGGTCCAGTGAGGCCTCGCAGGTGGGCTTGAGAAACACAGCCATTGCTGAGTGAGCACTCTCAGGAAACCACTTCAAGTGGGGGATTCTCACAGATGGAGGCTCTGGCCACTGCCACCTGAGAAGCTCGTGTCTACCAGTTCTCGTTCAATAATCATGCAAAATCAACCCAGCTGATGAGTTTTTCCTCTGTAAGACTCATGAAATCTATCTTTGAAGGCACAAATCTCCAAGGGTGGCCTCTCAGCAGTTTCTGCCATTCCAAGTCAGCTTTCAATCATGATCTGCCACAAGGCCTCCTTACCTGGGGAGGAGTATGGGATCTTTTTATCCTGATCCCACAGGGTGAAGTCTTCCCTAATTTCCTGTCCTTTGGATCTAGGATATTGAGTCAGAAATGAAGGTATCATCTTGTTTTTGTTTTTTCTTGATGTGTCTCACTCTGTCACTTAGGCTGGAGTGCAGCGGCGCAATCTCAGCTCACTGCAACCTCCGCCTCCTGGGTTCAAGCAATTCTTCTGCGTCAGCCTCGGGAGTAACTGGGATTACAGGCGTGTACTACCATACCTGGCTAATTTTTACATTTTTAGTAGAGATGGGGTTTCGCCATGTTGGCCAGGCTGGTCTCAAACTCCTGACCTCAAGTGATCTGACCATCTTGGTCTCCCAAAGTGCTGGGATTATAGGCATGAGCCACCAAGCCCGGCCAAAAGGTATCATCTTGTACATACTCAAGATAGAATACATACCTCACAGAGGTGGCATGAAAAGCAGAAATTCATCCTTGTGGACATCGCAATAAACTTCCCAAAAGACAGGCTGGACTAGGAGTCTGGGGGTGAGTGCTCTGGAGCAGGCGCGGCCCGCCCACAGCCCTGAATCCTACCCACACTTCCCAGTAAGAGAGGAGCACAGGGAATGACAGTGAAGTTCAAGTGAACCACAGTTGTGCTGAACAGAGCAAGTAACAATAACGATTACTACTGGCTTGCTGGGGCGGGGGCGGGGCGGGAAGCAAGCCTTGCAAAAGTCTAGTAGTTGAAAAACCGGAACTCTATCCAAATGATATAGATATCCTGACTGTTAAAGAGTGGGAGACGTTTCAGAAGTTCTCACATACTCCTACGGATTCCAGACTGAAGTAGGCATTTACAAAGGAAGTGAGCTACTACTGGCTTGATATAAGCTAAGACAGAGATACAAACCGCTGAAGCCTATCAATACTTAAGCCAGAGACCCACCTACAAAAAGAGGATTGGTCACAGCAGATCCTTAGGGCACAGAGATGAACCCCAAATCCAGGGGGAACAATTTAATGCAAGACGATGAAACTCAAAAATCAAGAACAAAAATATAGATAACCCCGTCAACCCAATATGAACTCCTGGTAGGGGCACAGCCTGATAATAACAATGACATCAGTAGCAAAATGGAAGGGAGCAGGAGGGGTCATCATGAAATGTAACTATCATTCAAAAGTGGCCACCAATGCAATTTCCTTTCAAGTATTTTATAATAGGTGAATTAAATTCAGCTACTCTTTTTAGAAAAAGAAAAAAAAAAGATAGATGACAAATGTCAATGTCATTTATAACTGGTAGGAAATCCTAGAAAAGTAATTCCCAGAGTGCACTGGTTTTATGGCCATCCACTTCCCCCTGTAAACCTAACAAAACTATGCAGGACATAGGTTAAAAAAGACACTGTCAACATAACAGATAACAAGTCTGCTCCCACCACATTTAGGATAAATGGCCAAGCATATAGTGGACAAATGGAGAAGAGGGCCTCATCCTTCTTGAGTCAAGGTCCCTGGAAGAGCTTCTGTGTTCTGGAGTGAGTACACATTCTTACTTTTTAAAGATCGGAATTAAACCAAAAAGTTGGTCCCTAAGTTCCCTGAAGTAATTCAGCTCTGAACTACAAGTTTAGCAAAACACTTGCTACACCTGCTCATATTCGTTAAGCAGTTTCATATTTCTAACTGTGATACAGGACAGAGGTGATTCTTACATATCTGCATTTTCAGGTCCCCCACAGGGTCCATCCACATTGAATCAACTGTCTTATCTTTTAAACAGACAATACTACCACCTTATAGTTATATTACAGTTGATATTTTCTCAAAGTGCTCTCATATACATTATCTCATAGTTATTAAAACAATGTGAACAATAAAGTTTTTTTTAAGAAAAAGGAATGTAGGACTAACTAGGTTTTTTAACAACTCAAGTTGGTTTTCTTTACTACAAAGTGCACATTGCTGTGTTGCTGAGGTCTGTCCAAAAGAATGACCCCATATGATTGTTTAAATGACTGAATTCTACTGAGT